TACAGGGGCGTCCAAGTAAAGCAGAACATTCATAGCAAATCTCTAGCAAAAGTCTCGCTGGGAAGGCCCACATGAAATCTTAATGAAGTCTGAGCTCTTAGAGCATTGGACGTAGAAGTCAAGGCAACAAGGGAACGCCATATTTGACAAATCGCTCGCGGAGTCAGCTCTCAGAACCCGAGAATGAGACAAAATTATCAAATAGTCCTTGGAACGACGAAACCCTTCCGTTGGGGTTATTTAGTGAAGACTACTGAAGCACGGCCTGCTGCGACTGTACTTCAACTCTGCCGACGAAACGGCACTACAGCGGTGCGGTGCGGAGGATAACCTTTTGCTTTATAGTGAATTTTCTACACCCTTCGATTCTTCTCTCCCATTTCAATAGCCTTCGCTAATGTTTGTAGTTCACTCCCTCTCTAAAACCTATTCCCTAGCATCTTTCTAAGGGTCCAATTGTCGTGTAAACGGGATAAATGTATTCTTTTCCATTAAAACCGCGCATAAATAAAATTATTCATTCATTCATTCAATATTGCTCACCTCCACTAGACCCGGGGCGGGAGTTCGATCTAACCACATCTATTGGATCTTTCTTCCCCACGGTCGCTTGCGGCACTGAAAAAAGGGGCCCACAACCACCTCACGACCACAATAAAGAGGAAACGAGAATGAATACCTCCCATAAGCGACCGCCCATCAAAAAAACCAAAATTTTCCCAGTCAAAACCTAACAGTTGGAACCTCTTGTAAACGACCACCTCCTGTAAGCGACCGTGACCATTTTTTGGGCCTGACGGTTGATGATTTCGATTGTTTTTAACCTCTTGTAAGAGACCACTTGAGGCATTCTCTGATCTCTATTTTCGCTGTATGCACTATGTTACTGAGAATATACGAAGAACTTTAGTGACAACATTGAACTACACATATCCCAGCTTAGACATTGCATGCAATAAATTATCTTCCATAAAGTAGATGTGCCTAGACCTCTTCTCGGAAGAGGCCCCCTGGGGTTCGATTCTTGTAAACGACCACCTCCCGTAAGCGACCACTGAGTCTTTGCATTTTGGGTGGTCGCTTACGGGGGGTTCGACTGTACGTACTAACGCGGGCGAAACACAGAATGCCGACCCACCGAAACAGAAAAATATAAACAACAACTTACCCCAGCTGTAGCAGGTAATACATACGGCCTGAACCGTTCACAGCTAGCGCAGAATGAAGGTACGGAAGAAAGGAATACGTCACGTCTCCTTGGCGCAGAAATGGAGTTTGAAAGTCGAGCATGCACGTGGCGCAACAGAATTTGCGAGCCCAAGACAGCCGCACTCGTAGACACGCCCGACTGAAAACCATTGCGAACATCTCTCCGTGGTTACCGAAGCAAAGGGAGCACGGCCTGCTGCGACTGTACTGCAACTCTGCCGACGAAACGGCAGCAGGCCGTGCTGCGGAAAACTTTCCTGACCCGCGTTCAATGACACTCTTTGCGAACTGACACCTTTGCATATATTATTCAGGGTTATATAATGGCTAATACGTCGTTGCACTGGATAATGAATATTACATGACTGTGAATAGTATAGGGGACCAAACAAAAAACTGGGTGGGCCGGAAGCTCTAAGAACGGCTCACAGGATTGGTTTAGAAAACAATAGATAGCCCTAACCCAAACAAAACTAACAATGAACCCCAACTCTGAAACAATAGAGCTTCGGGCCAACAAGAACCAATCAAATTAGAGGTTGTAAAGAGGTTCTGGCCAACACGGGTGGTGTCGCGAGGAAGTAGTACAGAGGGAAGGAAGAGTGCGTCTGCCAGAGAGGCCAATTCAAGTATCATCGCTAAGAAATGACTTGGCATAACCTGTACAGTTATCCTTCAGCGCTTCTAGATTGGTAAAAAAAAAAGACAAGCAAAGTTTATGCGCTTTCTCTTAATCGTGTCCTATTCGCACGTGTGCATACATTATTTCTCGCGCTCTAGCCTCTTCCACAGGCAATTCCTTTTGTAACGGTTACACTGATCATGAATAGTCGGAGAACGACTAAAGGAGACTTCCTGTTCTCTCTCCAATCTCCCGCCCGTTTTGTTAAACAGGACAGTGATGCCTGCGGCGGCGGCTAAGTGCGCACGATGTGTTATAAAGGCTTACTTGGGGGAGATGGTAAGGGAGAAGAGAGGAAAGTAACTGAAAAACGAATTTTTGGATCTTTCCGGCTTCTTCAAACTCATCTATGATACCAGTTTCTAGCTTTCACGGCCGCTTTGGATTTCTGCAATAGGCCATTTGCACGATCCTAACATTTGATAACTTGTTTCCGCCACTACGACATCCCGCTAAAACTCGTAGTACAATGAATACGGTTACCAAGTTTTCTCGCCAAAATGATGCTGATTCACGCGCGTGCACAAAATCTCGTTCTCGGCCTCGTCTTAGAATCCAAAGCTCTCTGGTGATGGGATTGGAAGAGGTTAAATGAGAGACGACTGGGGACGAGTCACGTTTGAACGTGTTCTATGGGCCTTTGATGGCGACAACCGCTGACCAAAGAACCCGAGGACTCCGGGTACGAAATTGAGTCATATAAGATATAGCGTCAGGAGGGCTCCAACAGAAACACATGTTTTGGAAGAAATTCAAAAACGATATAGCAATTATTCTAATTAGAGCAGACGAGAGAAAACCGGGCGCGGCGAAGGGGACATGCTGTCTTTTATTTTGTATGCATGATTACAAAACCTTTGTAAAACAGACTGCATATTAATTACACTATCACTTGCTTTCGTCAACTACGTTGGTGGGTAGTTTGGCCACCACAGTCGTAGTAATAGAGAGGAGAATTTCTTACGTCACGTTGCCATGGTAGCAAAATTTTTGGATGATGACAAACCGAAATGCCACTTAAAAAATTGTTTTTAAAAAATGTCACTCAACAGTCTATTCGCACAACTTCAAACTTCACCGATCTTATTCAATTTCATTTAATTTGGCAAATCTTGGCGAAATTTTCTTTGCGACTGTATCTATCGTTATCTAAGTCTCAAAGAAAAAGCGCCAAATTTTTGTGTTGTGTTCACCTACTCCATAAAGCGGGCTCGTGAAATTTTCATGTCGTAGTGGTGCAACGACGGCAAAGAAATGTGCATGTGCAAAGTTGTTGTTTGGTATTATAAACATATTATTTTTTGCTGTTCTCCTTGCAGTCGCCGTTGTCGTTGGTTTTGTTGTCATTCAGAAGTAGTGCTACCATGGTTACGTGACGTCACACTTCTCCTCTCTATTGTCACGTTAGGTAATATACCCTATCAACTTAGTTTATAAAGCTAAATCTGTTTCACTTCTCCAACATTATACCTTTTCCCTTTTCAGTGCCATCAATACACAGTCAGCTAGGAGAGAGCCAGCTTCAAGCCAGAGTCCAAATAGCTGCTTCTATTCAAAAATAAATTTTCCTCAAACTGTGAACTGTGCGATAAACAATCTGGCCCAGTAAAAGTGAAAGAACAGAATACGCACTTGACACAAATCATGACAAATGGATAACTTCAACCTTTTGTAGTAAGTATATTTTGAAAGACTAAACTAGTCGACTCGTTTTGAGAGAACAAAAACATTCGACCGCAGTTACTCGTATAAGCAAAGTTTATCATTTGTTCCCCCCTGGAATTCCACATGACATTGCATTACTTTTATCCCGTCAATCCTAAAGTGCGTATAAAGATGGTGGGTATCGTGAATAAGGCCTATCTGCTCCCCATGGCCAAGCCAGGTCCACTGGGATGGCTCTACTAATCACATTAAAAGGGAAAAGGCATAACAGGCAAATATTTAGCCTATTACACAGACGTTCTTGGGCTTTCGTCCCGGGCCCCGGGCTTTCGTCACGCGTTCCACGTGACGAACGGAAGAGAACAAAGCAGAACATCTGTGCGGGAAATTAGCAAATACTTCCTTTCTTCAGAAACTAACCGTTCATTCATCTATACAAAATTCCATACTGTCCATGCATCATAAATAAAAAATAAAAATAGAACAAGCCATTTGACCCAGTTGTTCAAAAGCGGGATAGCGCAATCAAGCGGATAAGTAAGAGAATTATCCAAAAAATAGCACTATCCACCTTTGAACAACTGGGGACTGGATATCAACACTAGCAAGAGCTGATGTATGCAGAGAATTCAACCATTTCTTCCATTCTGTTTTCAAAAACTTGGGAGTCCCTCTAAATAAAATTATAGCTGATTCAATAAAGGTTGCTTTGGGCATCGGGAATTGGGCTTTGAGCATATGGTGTGACCAGCAAACAATAGCTTCCCAGTGCCCAATTCCCAATGCCCAAACCAACCTTTATTGAATCAGCTATATCTATGTGAATAATCTTTTATGAAACAGAGAAACAATCACTAATTATAATAATGACCATAATACCCTCAATTGCACAATCATTCAACCAAAGAATATTTGAATGATAGCCCAAGTATTGACAATTTTTGAATCCCACACTCTATTAACTATTTTAATTTATAAATTTATAAATTTATTCTTAATTTAAATATTAACTTTAGGGTTACAGTAACCATAGATCTTGCTTTCCTTATGTTCTTGTTATATTCTTAGACTCTAATCTTGTTTGTTCTGCAACACATGTATATTACCTGTGTTGGATCCGGACAAAAGGGAGCTTTAGCATCGAAGACAGTGATAGCAGAGAAAATTTCCATTTTTTTCCAACGTTGTCGAGTTCGTTCCAGCCCGCTTAAAATGCCAAATGTAGGGACTGCACTCAAGTTTAGAAAGAAGAAAAATAATATTTGTTGTCGTGATTTTTTCGTCCACCGGAACACGTCACATAAGGAAATTTCATGTAGTGACCTTAAAGGAAGGGTAAAGAAATGCCCCAGAAAGTGCATGTACAAAACTGTTGTTTTGTTTATTAAACCTACAGCAGTTTCAACGTTCTCCATACTGTCTTTTAAGCACAAGCTCCCCAAAAGGGTAACGGGTGGAGTAGCCAATAAAAAAATACAATTTAAAATAAGATTCTTAGGATTAATAACTATTATCAAAACTTGTCATAAAAATATGACTAAAAATATCTTACATCTGATATAAACTTTGGATATAAATAGAGTACTGCACATGCAAGCAATTCCATGGCAACAGTACTTAAAAGTACCTGGGTCTTTCTTAATACAACTAACATTTCACAACTAACAACTAACACAAATACAACTAAATACAACTAACATTTCACACTGTGGCAGAATTATCCTGTGGTGCTCTCAGAGAGGATTCAAATTGGTTGGCGACACAGTGGGCAGGTGTCACTAAAACGCAATAACACAACGATTCATACCTCGACAAAAATTGCCCTATATACATCCTGTTACTACCGGTTTTCAAAATAAGCCAAACTAATTATAACAACATTACCCTTGATGGTCAAAAAACATTTTGGAAGCAACAAGTCTTCTTCAAAATTTGACAAAAAATTTTGAAAATTTGCTTAAGTCCCTCTTGAGGCTTGCTCATCTAGTGCTGGGATCAATGCAACAAGACTTGATTCTAACTGAATAATAATGTTATTTTAGAAGAGGCAAGAGCTGAGACAGCTTCCTTAAAAGTGGTCACAATTGAAAGATCCCTTTGTTTAAAATGACTTTAAGAAGTTCTGAGTGTTAACTTTACCGATACAATGTAAATAACAATAACTAACACGAACTGAACAAGCTTAGAACGTTTTGCAGGTCAAGTTCAAGACCTCCTAAAGAAATGTCATTAGAAATCACGAGCGCTGAGCCCAAGGTCAGCCTGTTAGGGAACACGTAGCTCTGTTTCAGAATTATTTGTGTGGAGTGCCTGTAAACTAACTGGGTAAGCTAAGTGCAGTTCCACTATAAACAAACCTTTAAACCTTTTATTTCAAAAAGAGGGAGCAAATCAATTTTCTTGTGCAAAAACGTGTCTGAATGGTAAAGAAGTTTTAAAAGAACTTGTCTATCTTTTCAGGATAGTTGAGATACAGCTCTACTTAACCTAAGACCCTACAGGCCATAGTGAATTCATTTCTTAAACTCTTTGGCATGAAACTAAGGGTAATTTTAACCCCTTTTAGTATAATTACAATGATTATCGAAAATAGAGCACTATCATTGGCTAGGAGCTTCGCTTCATTCCGCTATAATCACCACGCGGTGATTATAACATTGAAGGCTAGCAGTTTTCAAAATGGCAGCCAGATTTGTTGATGTTTTGGAGTCGGAAATTGATCAGTAATTTTATTTTCTCAAATAATCATCAATGTAATTATACTAAAAGAATTAGTCGCCTCAGGTGAAGTGAATATCGGTGAATAGTCACGTCACCTGAGTTGAGTAATTGTTAATTAATCCCAGAAGTGTCCAAAGTTATAAAACTATGAGCAGTCTCTCTTTCCTCTTGGCCTGTCGACCGACACATGCAAGATACACAACTGACCATGCGTGACTGAAGCCACGAGACATTTCTAGTGTTGATGCTCACACATGCGTGCATTCCCCTCACTAAACCTGAAGAAAAAGAGAGACTGCTTGCAGTCTACAAAAGTCAAAATGCAGTTCCAGATTTCCAAATTTAATTTTGAGAGATGCTGAAAAAATAATTTGTACTTTCTGAAAGTACTGCCAAAGAGGTTCCCTTTCAACAGAGTCAGTGGGTAAAATCAATTCAAAAGACTAATTATTCATTTTAGAGTCAAAGTGTTAATAATCATTTTAACCAGGCAACAGTTATTCAAAAGCTGAATGATGCCATCCATTGGAAAAAACACTATCCAATGGTTAATGCAATATTGGTTTCCCTAAACCTTATCCACTGGATTGTGATTTATCTGGTGGATAACACTATCCAATATTTGAACAACCGCGACCAAAAACGTTCTTCATGCAAAACGTGAACCTTAGTAACACTGTCTGAAAATAGTACTTACATGTTGTTGTGCAACATATCTAAGTAGCACTCCTCATGGAACTTGTGTCCACATGGGACCTCATAGCACCCAATAAAGTCATCCAAATACTGAAAAGAAAAAAATAAGTACCTGTAAGTAAATCAGGATGAATTTTTCCGTTCATACCTATGAAAACAGGGGTGGGGCACCCCTTTTGTTCTGATATTCGTTTTGATCCTTTAGTTAACATTATGTTGATTATCAGTGAGAATATTGCATGAGCTTTAGTGGGGTTAAAGAGATATTCTAGAATTATTCAAACTTGTCTTTTTCTATAGCAATAAAATATTATCAAATAATTTAATTTAATTTAATAATTTAAAACTTAATATTTTTATGCAGCATCATACATACACTGGATATACCGAGTTAACAGCTTAGAATGTGCTAGCAGTTCCTCCAAATTGTCAATGAGTGAGCACATTGTGTGAAGAAAGCAAACATGTAAAGGGAAGCGGGAAGCCTCCACCCAAAATGGGTATCTTTTTCAGGCCTCAGGCACGTGTTTATGAAAGGGTACGGATTTCACTCATTGAAGTATATAAAACTAAAAAAGGTGGGAAATGTGTCATTTGGGTCTCTGAAAGGGCCCAAAAGGGCTTCCAGAGGAATTTTATGGCTTGATTTCTATTAAAAAGGTGATGCATTTACAGCAGTTAAAAGAGATAAAAAGTTCTTAACTAGGTATGTGAAAGGGGTACCATTTGTCAATAGAAGGTATACGTCGAAAGGGGTTCCTTTTTTGTGAAAAATGCTATAAAAAAGGGTAAGGGGTTGAACCTCAGGGCGGAGCCTCCCAACAACGCTGGAAATCGCATTTTATGTTCTCAGAAAGCCCTGGTTGATACAGTGGGTTACTCTTTTCAAACCTGCTGGCTACTCCAATTTAATTTTCATTGAAACCCATGAATAATGATGTAATAATAAATAACAATGTAGTAACAATTAATGCCATAATTAAATAAAATGTCCAAGGGATGAAGTTACATGTAGATTGCACTGAGATTTATGTTAAAATCATTAGACCTTTTCAAAACCAAAAATAGGGTTTGCAAAGATAACAAATTTCAATTCACCACTTGGCAGATACAGCATTTATCAGGATGACATGGGTGACTTTCCTGCTGCTGTGCATCAACAATCTCACCACATTTGACACAGTTTTGAGCAGTCTAAAAGATAAAAAGAGAAAAATAAATTGCCCAGTTTAGATAAAAAGTGCACATATTCTGAACAAGGCACCTGTAGTACTAAGAATTTCCGTGCAACTTTGAATTTAACTACTGTTCAGACTTATGAACCAACAAGACATTTTGCAGGGAAAAATTGTAATGTTTGAAAACCACCAGACTAAAATTTCTCAAGAGAATGCTCTTTATTGCATTATTATAAGCCCTGTGCAAGAGCAGATTTAAATTTCCACCCCCTAGGCATGCTCTTAAAACTTCCTGTCATATCAGATTGTTTGAGGTGCAAAAGGCTATCCAGTTACATGTTCCAACACACTTTAAGTGTAACTTCTCTTAGAATGATGAATGCTTGTATTGGTAATATAATGTTCCATCTTTAATACTTGGAGCCCAAATACGTAGCAAACTGGATGAGTGCCAATGTTGTTCAAACAAGTATATTATTACATGTAGTCACTTACATGTAGTTGGAGATTACAACTGCTTACCTCCTGAAACTCTTTTTCTTCTTTACAGGCTCTCTCCTCTCTTATCAACTTCTCCTTCCTTTTGATTCTTGTTCCCAGCTGCACACGTTCTTCCTCCATCAAAAGGTGCTCACAAAGTGCCCACGCTAAAAGGGCTTGATCTGTTGATCGCTTTAACAAAAAGGCACTGTTTATTCCAGCTTCCAGGTTTTCTCCTGTTCCTTCCCTTCCCCCATCGATCTGAAGTGATTCATCTTCTATGGATTCATCATATGCAAGTCCTCTTAGGACCAACTGGGGTCTAGTAACTGGGGAGGCCCAGTCATCATCCTGCTGTGGATGGGAAGGGAGAGTGGCACTGGTTGAATATTGATGCTCTCGGGGTCTAGCACCTAAGCGGTTCCAGTAATGCTGTGATTGGGAATTAGGAGAGATGGAGGACTGTCGGGGTCTAGCACCTAAGTGGTCCCAGTCCTGTTGGGGTTTAGAATGAAGAGAGGTAAAGGTTAGAAAGTAAACACTTGAAGCCTGCAAGCAGCTGTTAATCATGTATCACTTACTGATGAGGACTCATAACTTGGCAATTCTCTTCCTAGATGAGTATCAGATGCATTCTGGCAAACATCACCATAGAATGAATTGGCTCTTTGCGATCCAAATACAATGCCAGGAACAGGATCCAGGTATGATCCTGGTGTGTGCTGTGATGGAATGTCATTCTGTTGTGAAATTTCTGAAATAGCAATCTCATAAAGGCCTTTATCTTGAGTGTGTCTTGCTACGAAATTCGAATCTAATCCTTCTGAAAAGGAATCGAGTGGTGTGTAAAGGGGTTGATTCTCCTCATCATAGTTTGAGTCAGCTTCTGACCAGTAAGACAAACTTATCAAAAATGCATCAAATGACTGATGAGTTTGTGACTGAGCACAATTATTATCAAAGTCAACCCCATTTTGTGTAGAAGATTGACAGCTCTCTGCATAAGGTAACTCAGGAGACACTTCTCTGTCTTCATCTTCCCTGGTCGATATGCATCTTGTGCATAAACATGAGCCATGATTGTGATTCTGTCTGTAAAAAGGGAAATTTTTTTTTTCACATCATTAGTTCACATCTCCATTGATTTTCTCTAAGATGGACACCAATGGGAACAACACTTGGTGTCTGTCTTACAAGAAAACTGTCTGCCTTAAGACAGTCAAAGAAAGTGGCAAGAACCAACAATGAGTATCCATTTTAGGGCAGTGTCTATCATGGGTGTCAGTTACAGACAGTTGCTGTCTCCCCTTAGGTTTAGGTCAAACAACAAGCATCACAATCACGTGATGAACCTGATACTAGTGAAAAAAAATCAAAGTTGAGTTTTGACCCTGATCTCAAGGATTTTTAAAATGCAAACTATTTATTAACACCACTGCAAAACACAAAAATGTGGGAGAAAGGAAACTATGGAATGTAATTGGAATTTCTCAAAAAACTTCACTAGGGCAAGTTAAGGTGGCTCGACTGGATTTTTTTTTTTTGGCGGGGGGGGGGTAACTCCCAAGTTTGAGCATTAACTACGTCGCCATGAGAAAAGATATGGGAAAAAGATTACCACAACTGTATTATATAAAGATGAAAATTTCTTATAGTCTGGGTTTTATTGCAAATATCGGAGTTGCCATAGCAACGTAACGATGTCATTACGTTTTTTATTTATCTTTGTGTTTCTCTGTACCAAGAGTTTTTTTAAGAAATCGCTTAAGGGAGTTTGTACCGGCCATAATTGCCTCATTTATAGCAAAGTTTAAACAAATTCTATGAAAGCGTTTTTGAGATATTTTGAAACCAAGTTTTAAGCATCATAAAAACAGTAAAATAGCATGCTATCCACACAATTACCTAAATTTTTAAGACAATGATGAGCTGGGGAAACGCGGCTTCATGTCATAGTGGTTTGCCTACAAATTTCACATTTTTCAAACAACTGCTCAATAAATTTTTTTATAAATTTGACAATCCCGAGATCAATCGTCTAAAAGTATACCCTGCAAGTTTTAAGAACAATGAAGACAGAGAAGGCTTTTAAATAGGGCCTCAAATATAACCAATTTCCCCCCCAGGTTTTGTGTTTACAAGTGAGCGTCCTCATTATTCACTGGCATTGTTTCCAAGTTTCATATGCACGTGCACATTTAGCAAAAAGATAGAATTTGCATAAAAAAGGACCCTCGGTTAAATCCCCCGAATATGCTAATAACCAGGTAAAGAAATTAGAGATATATTATGACATCACAGGAGCTCTTTGTAAGAGTTTCTGTGATGTTATAACCCAGGTAAGATAACTAAGTATTGCATCCTACACGATGAGCCACGACGTTCACCGTCTCGGCTCTCACTACTGTGACACAAGCCAATTATTAGAATATTTTTTTCCAAAAGTAATTGAGAGTTCTTTTTGATGCAAATTTATTTCTTTTTGCTAAATGTGCACGTGCCTATGAAACTTGGAAACAATGCCAGTGAATAATGAGGACGCTCACTTGTAAACACAAAACCTGGGGGAAAAATTGGTTATATTTGAGGCCCTATTTAAAAGCCTTGTCTGTTTTCAATGTTCTTGAAACTTGCAGGGTATATTTATTGGCAATTGATCTCGGGATTGTCAAATTTATAGAAAAATTTATCAAACAGTTTTTTGAAAAATGCGAAATTATAGGCATGGGCCAAATTACGTGCAAAAACTGTAACAAAAGCAGCTGAATGCAAGTTAATAAAATTCTTCTTACTTGCGATCGCTCAGAGCAATTCCCCTCTTTTCTTGTACGCAGTTTTCGATGGAATCAAACCACTATAAGATGAAGCCGCGTTTCCAAAGCTTATCATTTTCTGAAAAAACTAGCTAATTGTGTGGATAGCACGCTATTTCACTGTTTTTATGATGCTTAAAACTTCGTTTCAAAATATTTCGAAAACGCTCTCATAGAATTTGTTCAAACTTTGACATAATTGAGGCAATTATGGCAGGTGCAAACTCCCTTAAGTGATAAGAGAGAAGCACAAAGATAAATAAAAAACATAATGGCATTGTTACGTTGCCATGGTGACTCCGATTGCAATAAAACCCAGATCATAAGAAATTTTCATCTTTATATAATACAGTTGTGGTAATCTTCTTCCCATATCTTTACTCATGGCGATGTAGTTAATACTCAAACTTGGCAGGTATCCCCTCAAAAAATCCTGTCACGCCACCTTAAGAACAAAATTTACTAGCCCAATAGCAAAATCCATTAGCCCTGAGCTATCGGACTCTACTTTCTTTGCACGGTGCTTTAATCTCCTAAACTTGAGAATAAACAAGCAGTTGAAGATGATTTTTGCGGTGATAGAGGTAAGTATCTCTAAGCTTGCTTTTAAACTGGGAATTATTTTGAATGAATTCAGCTTTTGCATCATCTGAAATGTTTTTTAGATCTTGGAAGGTGTTAACCAATAACACCCTCCTCTATCTCCATAATTCTTCAGATGATAGCCAGCCACATCCAGTAATTTATTGTTATATATCTTAAACCAGTTTAGTATTATTACATTGATGATTATCGAAAGTAGAGCGCTATGATTGGCTAGGAGCTTCACTTCATCCCGCTATAATCACCGCGCAGTGATTATAACATTGAAGGCTAGCAGTTTTCAAAATGGCAGCCAGATTTGTTGATGCTTCGGAGTCGGAAATTGATCAATAATTTTATTTTCTCGAATAATCATCAGTGTAATTATACTAAAACAACTTAATCGCCTCAGGCGACGTGAATATCGGCGAATAGTCACCTCAACTTCATCTTGGTGACTATTCGCCGATATTCACGTTGTCTGAGACGACTAATTGTTAAATAATCACTATTTCATAAGTTATAAACAATATTTATCATTGAAAGAGTAACACGAGACTTACATGCCATTTTGTGTCAGCGCATCACTTGCATCTTTTCTCTGGGTGTAGCCCAACTCTTTTTCTTCTCTCTCCTCCCCTCCTCTAGCTCTTTGTTCTTCTGTTAACTGTTCTGTTCTGCTTCTATTCCCCTTCCAAACTGTTCATCTTCCTCTCTCTCCTGAAGAACACGTTTAATAACAGCAGAAGCTTCTGCAACACACCTTTCCAGAGCCAGCAATGAGTTGTCTGAGGATTTATGATCACTGTTGTGTAACAGAGAAACTCTGGAGCGTTCAAAATCACCAAGATGTGGTTCAAAAAACGATGTGCTGGGTGAGGACGCTCCAGCTAAAACACCATCAGACATTGTATTTCCAAGTTCATTTCCTGCAAAGAAGCCAGCAAACAACTCAAAGATTTGAACAACTTCAGAATACATGTACATCCCCATCACTTTTGGAACAATTAAAAGAATGAGGAAGATCTTCATGGGCACTTTGGTCATTCAACAAGATGCAGGTAAGTGGTGGTGAATTCTGACATTTGCTTCGCTCAGTCACATGTCACAGTGTACGTTATTAAACTCTATCATGTTATTACAGTCAAACCGGGAAAACCATGAATACCACAAATATTTCTGCAATGTTATTGTGTTGCAAGAAAAAAGCCAAACAGGCGTGAGAAAGCTAAACTACGAGCAAGAACGTTAACCAGTTTGTGGTTTTGTATCTGGATTGCACGTCCCGATCTTTGCAGTGATTGGTCATAACACAATAAACATTCCTGAAATATTGCAAGTGTTCATGGTTTTATTGGTTTGACTGTAATGTACCCAAAAGGCAAAGAAGAATAAAACTGGGACTTAACCACAGAAAAGAATGCAGGGCATGAAATAAACTTTTCTCAAGAAGACATCTCCCTACTAAATTTTCCAAAGTGGTCGCCAAGTCCAAAAAGTTAGTAACCATTTTTTTTTTTCAGAAACAAAAAAAAAAGGCCATATGATAAATGCATTATATTATAGGTTTCCTAGCTTTTGGAATACCTGAATGTTTTGTCTCAAATCTCTAAAGAATAGCAAACAACAATTCTGCTTAGTTACTTAATAAAGAACAAACAGAAACAAATGAACATTACCAATGTTATCATTTGTTGGATTTATTCTGTTTGCCATCACAGACCATCCAGTTTGATGATCATGGATGTCCACTTATCTCAAAGACTGGTATATATTAGGTGTGCAATCAGCCACATATGTGCCAGGAAGTCCTAAGTTTATAACAATCTTTCAAAAAATTTCAGAAACTGAAGTTGATAAGTTTCCTAAACTATTGTTTCTAATATGAACTTTACGAAATATCTTACTGGACTACATAATGTAGGACCTGCCATCACAACGGGAAAAAAACAAACTAGTCAAATCTCCATAAAGATATTTATATCAATATTATTTGCTTAGTTCTTTGATGACTTGTTTATGAAATCTAATTCCTTTAGTAACCAAGAAAGAAAAGTCACAGCTTGATCGGGATGAGTAATCATACAAACATATCCAAATTTTCCTGATCACTGTTTTCATTGGCACTCATTTTAAATTTAAATCATTCCATAATTATGCTAAATGAGAGCACATGGAATCGGAAAAGTGCGGAGTTTTGTTAGCACACAATACGCCTTGTTAGCAAAGGGGACATTTCAATCCACACTCCACAATATACAAAATTACTATTGGAAAATTTAAGATGGTGGGTGTTGATATGTTGACTTTGAAGAGTTCATGACGATTTTCCTACAAACCTCAGTTGTTGGTACTGATTCATCTTTACCTTTATAAGCTTTATTTGATTGTACAATACATAAAGGTAGGATGTACCGAGGGATGTCACTAAGATTTCAAGTTGCCAGGTAAATACAACAAGTAGGCGGGGAATCAAACCAGCTAGGGGTTTCTTTTGGTTCTATTTTTCTTCTATTTTCCTATGAAAGTAGCCGGGAGCCAAGTTCATAGTAGCCTGGGAAAATCCCCTGCCCCTGCCTCTTAATGACAGCCCTGTGTACTGCACCCGAAGAGTTCTGGTTGCCAACGTGGCAACGAACTTTTGAATCTAGGTTGCCACCACAGTAAACTTAGGCGTATTGGCGACTGTATCAGGCGCAATTTTGTGCCCTGGAATGATATGTTGTTTTTTTGTTAACAGAACACTGACCCATTGCTGTACGTAAGAAAAAATAATGTATGCTAAGCTTACCTTGTAGGTGAGCATCATAACATTGCATGAAACGCTTTTCTTTATCTGTAAGAAAAAGTGCCTCAGCTGGATTCTCCAAATCAACCGGGATGGACTTCTTTTCCACCAGACTAGAACCATCCAGGCTTATAGTTTGGAGGTGTGGGTTATCTAAAAGGTCTTCTAAATGATTCCTGGGATCAACACATCCCTCGTCTGAACTCAGGCTGTGCAGTGTGCAGTATTGATTTTCTGTTGACACTCCTTTGTCTTCCTCCTCTCTGTAAAAAGAAAAAATATCAAATAATTATTTACAGTCGAACCCTCCTCTCTACAATGGCCACTTTTTTGTTCTGGCAGACAGTCCGTACATTGACTCTTGTTTAAACCTCTTTACAACGGCCACCTCTCTACAATGGCAACAGCCACTAAAGCCTGTCCCCAACTGCCAAAATATTCTCTCTACAATGGCCAGATTTTTCAGTGACTGATTTAAAAGTCAAGAGTGCAGGTCATGACATTTGATCCATATGCACCTTGATGAGTAATTGCGGCAATTGTATTTTGATTGTGTTCCATTCATACAGCTGCAGATGCTGCAGTGAGCTTAAATTAATTGTCTACAATACTGCTTATAGTGAATGTTTTCTTGTTTTGTCATGTTTACATTCTGATTCAAAACATTATTCAAGTGTTTTTATGGTGTATTTTACCTCTAGATATTATTTCTGATTGAATTACCATTAAAGGATGCAGTAAGCATGAACTTTGCACAAAAAATATGTTGTCAGTCCCTACAAATAAATTGTCAAATTACATCCCTATCCCCCCATAACGGCCACCTCTCCACATACGATGGCCACTTTTCTCTGTCCCAGCAATTCAGATCCATATCGGTCCTGGGACATAGTCTGAGACAAAAAATTTTTATTTGTCTGAACAAATCTACCTAAATTATGACAAACGTCTGAAATGAAAATAAAATAATATGAAGTACTCTAAAATTAATGTGTCTTGTGGTAGTGATACATGTTAGAGATTGGCACATTATTTTCCATGTATAGCGAAAATATCTGTAGTCTGAGCTGCAATATGCACACCGATTAATGCAACCGCTGCCATCTTGGATGTATTTTACAAAGATCTCACAGTGCGTGCGATTGGTCAGATGAAAGCCAATAGGAGCGCTTGTTATAATGCAGGCAACATCTCTGATTCTATTTTGAGCGAACCATGTGAACTAAAGGCCTTAGTTATGGCTGAAAAGAGCCAAAAACCTTTGTCATACATGTACTTTTTAAAACGAAGAAAGCAGTGGGAAGACAAATCTGATAAAGAAAGCACAACAACTCAAGTTGCTCATGAAGATTTAACTGATGTCGCTGACCAACAAAAGAAATTGCCCCCAAGGCTAAAAGAAAATTCCAGCTGAGATGGCTTAAAAGCTACCCGTGGCTGAATTATGATCAGAATGAAAGTATTTTTTAAACAAAAAGTATCTTGAAAGGATAAACTTTTCATCTATTTTGTCATAAGAAAAGAAAATAATGTCCGACAATAGCTAGAAATGTCCTAAGAAAATTCAGCCCTTTAGGACATTAATTTTGTCCTATTCACTTTTTCATGGATCTGAATCACTGACACTGTCTCTGAGGTGGTCTTTGTGGAAAGGTTCGACTGTGTTAACCACAAACCCTTATAGTTATAACTTAATAGTAGAATCACAACTGACCTTATTTCTTGCATTGTACTTGATCCCATTTGCATCAACTTTCTCGAAGATAAAAACCATTCATTAAATATGTCAGTAAAAGAGTAACATACGTAATGACTTACATGCCATTTTGTGTCACAGCAACATTGGTGCTTCCTCTGTGGCCTTTGTGTGAACATGGTAATATCTGGCAACCAATGAATGCATCCTACAAATTATGGAAAAACAAACAAACAATCGAATCAGCGTTGCAATTTACTACAACAGCTTTCAGATGTGTATGTTACAGGTCAGAATTAAAAATTCAGATTGACAATGTTTAGTGTAGGTTGACTCTCAATTTCCTTTGTCTTCTGGTCCTGATTGTTCATGAATTAGGATAGAAGACAAAGGAAACTGAGAATCAACCTAGGTTAAAAATTTTAACTTGAATTGAATTTTAACCTGTAACATAAACACTGTAAACGAGAGTTCCTATCTTTGACTCTACCCTACTGATAGATAAAAAAACTAGCTCAGATAAAAAAAAATCGCTGGAACCATGTCTATGATCATCCTATAATCTACACTCTTTCCACTCAAACTTATACAACAAAAATCCCTCTTTTTTATCTGACAAGCTTATACAAACATTGTTCTTTAAAACAACCAGAAATTCAGGTCCATTATTGGTATGTGATCACTGTTAATTCAACCTCACCTCCAAGCAAATACAGAATTCATCACGACTTGAATCTGGACGACACTTGTGATTTCCCCCAAGCTGTTTGTCTAAACACACATTACAAACATCACGGTGAAATGATTTGTCCTTGTGAATCCTGAATGACAAACAAAATAATGCTGATACATTAAAAAACAACACTCTTAATATCATTCAATAATCATAAAATTAGTAGGTATACAGTGTGGCACAAAATTTTTGCAGGTTCTAATTTTTTCAATTTTTTTGGCAATTTTTCCAGCGATCTGCAAAAATAAGTTCCCACAAATAAAAATATGGCCAACATTTTTTCCTGCAAAAATTTACTCCAGAGTAAATATTCTCTAATTTAAATTCACTACAAAAAAATAAAGTACTAACAAATCATGTCTGTTCAATTACAACTTGTGTCTTTTGTTCAGAAACAAAGCGGTGTGCAATGAAATACCGGTTTTATATAGGGTACGCACACCACAGTACTGGGTACTTTCCGAAAATTGCAAAAACTAATTCCCAGCAAGAAAAACCAATCTATCCTAATCGCAAAAAGTAGTTCCCGCCAAACATGAAAAATCGCCAAATGCGCAAAAACAAGTTCTGCAAAAAATTTGTACCACATAGTAAACAATTTTACAAGTTGACACTGATTCTTATATTTTGCCCGGCTTTTCTTTCCTGCTGTAATTATTACAAAAGTACAGTCATTCCTTTAGACAACTGGAAAAAGCCATCAATTATTTAAAAAACAACAAAAAGGCATAAAACTTTCTTAAACAAGGATATACATGTGTATCTTATTTAAATAATGTCATAATAATTTTACAAAAGAAATGTCACATTTTCTTGACCTACCAGCAAATTCCACATTCTTCACAATGATAAGGATTTTCATCCAAACTGGTGAAATGCTTACAGATGGAGCAGAAAAAAGCAGACATTTCCCTACTACACTTTTGACATCTGGCACCACCTTCACAAATCTGTAACGACAACAACCATAAAACGTTAAACCAAGCTTTAAAATGCAACTTGATTCCAAAAAAAAGTATGGATAACAAGTCTCCCAGTAACTTGAGCGGCAAACACAACTTACACAGAAATATGAAGGGTAGACTCTGAAAATACAGTCACTCCCTTCCCCCTCCCTTCCAGCCCCCAAACTAATTTGAACCAGTCGTTCAACTCACTCCCAGAACCAAAATTTTTTCTCAGTTTAAAATGTTAATGCAAATACTTCTACGTGCTTGCTCTAGCTGCAATGTACAATCATTGTCAAAAGTGTAAGGAAGGCTGCTACTTTTTACCTCTTTTTTTTTTTCTTCCTCCCTCTGCCCCTGGCCCAATGTTGAGAAAAATGTTAATGTTGGTGTGCATAATAATAACCTGTTATAACTTTGGGGGAGGGGAGGAGAGGGGAGGGGGGTATTTAGCAAAAGGAAAACTCTCTGTTTTTTAGGATTACATGTAAAATGGACTATTTTCAAGTTGTGCAACTTTCCCCGCTGCTTTTTTCTGGGATTGTACATAAGTGTAGTTTACATGCTCTTAATTAAAAACAAATATATATAAAAGAACACACAAAAAACAGGCAGTAGTGAAACAGTGAGCCTATTTTTACAAGCATGGCCAAGGAGTTGAGCTCAAAAAGGCCAAAAGCCTGCTAGAGGTCAAAATGACACACACTAAGGACATCCAGATTGCAAGACTATAATGCTTATCAACTAGCCATGCTGAATACTACAGATTTCCATTCCTCCAAAAAAAAAAAATATCAATGCCCCCTTTAACACAAAACTAGTAATAAGTCACTTTAAAATTCGATCGGAACTCGAGACAAATGATCTCTAAGAATTTGAAAAGTAAAAGATTAACCCCGAAATAAACAACAATTCTCTTGAAAATTAGGAGCAAACAAACTAAAACAAGAGTAGGAGAATTGTGATTCAGAGAAGAGAATTTTTTAAAGGACCATTTTGAGCCAAAATAAAGGAATACAGTCTCGAGAACCACACACAGGTCATTTTATGCCTTCAGTTCATTAATTCGTGAAGTAAGAAATGAGAGTAAAAGCTAACCTCCTGTTCATGCTGACAGTAAGAGCACTTTAAATGAGTGGCATGACAAGCTTTAGCCTCTTCATTGTCACAGGCTGTTGAGATGTTGTGGCAGTGATGGCATGAATAGAACTGCATGCAACAAGGGAACTTTACACTGCAGTGCCGCTGATAATGTTCACATAACCACTGTGCTTCCAAGAACTCTCTTTCTTCAGCAGGCCTTTCCATTGATTTGTCTGAGGATTCCACTGTAGAGTGTTCACCATCACCAAGACTTGGTTCTAAAATAGATGTGCCAGGTAAAGAATAAGATACTCCAACCAAAACAACACTGCCATCAGATGTTAGACATACATTTCTAAGTTAATTTACTGCTAAGGAACCTGCTAAAAAGTCACAGATAAGCTTATAATAATAGCTCTTCACATTTATTCTAGTGGCAGTACTCAGGTACTATTTCAAGACCAGCTTCTTTCTAAAAAACACATGTTATGTTATTAAATGTTATCATACCTGAATGAACCCAAAAATAAAGAAGAATAAAATTTAATTTGAAGAGAACAGAACTCACTGATAGCTTGAACAAGTGCTGTAATTTCCCTTGTTAGTACTCTAAGTACTCTACTGTAGGTCATCCCCCTTTTTTTTTCGTTTAGTGTCGAATGCCCTTCCTGATTTTGGGTTGGTCGGTCGGATTGAAAAAAAAACCCTCAAAAACAAAAATCACAAGAAGTCTCGGAATAGGAGGCCCTGGTACCCCAGGATGACATTAAAAGTTAACAATCACATATTTGGATTAACAAAACACACAATAAACTGTAAAAAATGTTCCTGTTTTTCTCTATGCTTTTACTATGCTCACTTTTCAGATTACAAGAATTTATTTCGTGTGAAAAATGGTTTAACTACGTCGTTACTTTTTTTTTTTTGAAAATGTTAAAAATTTGGGTCGGTCGGACGACACTTGACAGAGAAAAAAAAAGGATGGTCTTACTACATGTACATATGTACAGAAATTTCCACTAGTCTGTAAACTCAGGGTCGAAATTACAAAAGAAAAAAAACAGACAACCAAAAAAACTGCTCAACATAACGAAATGCCCACAGTGAATACAAAAATAATCGAATATATGCTTTTAAAGCACTTTCGAACAAATTAAAGTAATCTGAACAACAAATGAGCTTAATTAAACTAATCACTGATTGATCTGAATAAACTCCACTAGCGCTTTAAGAATATAAATAATAATGAACAAAAGTACCAAAAGATTCTTTTGGTTTTACACGATTTTAGTCATCATTTGAGTCGATTTCTGGTGACTGTTCACAAAGATCGAAACGAGTTCCATTACGTTGGGAAAAAAAACTTCAAAACTTAAGCTTAACTTTTTGTGGGTCGGAAAACAACCTTAAATTGTTTTTGTCGATTGATTGTGATTTACAATGTATCGAACGATTCGGGTACAGTGAGCTTACCTTGTAGGTGAGCGCCACAAAATTGCTCTTGACGCTTTTCTCTATCATCGTGCAAAGGAAGATCCTTAAGATCAGCGGGAACGGGCTCCTTCTCTAGCAAACTAGCCCAATTTTTGGCCGCCCCATCAATCGATCTACTCTGTTGGAGCGAGTCTTGTAACTCATTTCCAAGATCATTTTCACTTTCAAAACTTTCTTCCGAGTCACTTGAAAGAGCATCTTGACCGCTACTATCGTACTCACTCATTTCTTTTGGTGAAAGTACGCTAAACCACGATCACGATCATTCATTCGCAAGCTCCGGCCATCTTTGTTTGTGTTGCCTAGTCCCCAAGCCTCATTATCATGCGCGGCCGATGCGTTTCCGGTCACGCGGTCCGAGAAAGTTTTTCCGACAAAGTTTTCTCCTCCCGGCCGTTCGTCCCGAATACGTCACCGAAATGCATTGACCGAGAGGGCCTGAAAAGACGCCGTTTACAGGGACTAGGCCGGACTAGGCAAGTTTTTTTGGATCCAGGCCCCCGCCGGCCCCTTTTCCATGATGCCACTTTAGATGCCACTTTCCATAGATGTTGTAAACTATTGTAATGTATTTTTTGGAAACGTATGGGAGTACCGAAAAGGTTTATAATATCGTAATACGTAACGATGAAATCTTGTAATTAAGATCAAAATAAAGGCCTTTTTTTCCTGAAATGTTGTGTGTTATCGTTTTCGCAGCTGAAAACGACGAATCATAGCGATTTGAGGGGTTATACATTCAACTTTAAACTGCTCAGGTCCCCTGGGGTAATGCACTACCACAGAGGAAAGGCCCGCACCCCCACACTTACGGAATGCAGGGCAGTAGCGGGAGATTTCAGCGGTTTCAGACTGTCACTTTTGCCACCGTTTGCGGGATTTTCTACCGATTACCGGGGCTTATAATAGACGGGATTCGCCTTTGATGCCATCTTGATACAGGATCAGAAGCATAATCTTCTGACGGGAAATAACGAGAAAATTCATATAAAGCATGGAAAGCTCATATAATCGTAATCGCTTGGAGAGGTTATTAAGTTTGGAATGCCAATTCTGTAACTCAAGGTAATTTATTGTTCAACTTAACAATTTTGGCTGTGTAAGAAATGGACAGCATTGTTGATTTTAAGATTTGTAAAACTACAATTCGAGGCAAAATTCCTTGAAATATATTAATTTTGGGCAACATTGTACATTTGTGGTTTTGGAAGTACTGTATTGCCCTGGGGGAGAATAACAAAAGTGACGATCTTGACGTATGAATTTTTTCTCCGCGTTGCGGGGAATTTGGTTTATTTTGAAGGCAGACCTGGTCTACTGCCCCGCTATTCCCCGGGTATGGGGGGCGCGTATACTCCCACGCAGGCGTCCTTGGGCTTCCTCAAGCACTTCCTCCTTTCGTTGGGGAGGATTGCGTGACGAGCCAAAAAAAACCTCTACGTGGGAGGTTAGGGGGTGCGAGGCTTTTTTTTAAAGGCCTTGTTATCGCTATAATTTGTCGTGAATGACAACACACAAAACTTCCGGTAAAAAGACGATTACTTTGATCTTATATATAAAAAAAAACACATCGCTTTATATTACTATAGTATGAATCTTTTGAATATTCCCACACATTTCGTCAAAAACCAAAATTACAACAGCGGTGAACCCAATTTGAGTGGGCTCTCTTTGGTGGCACAAAGTGGCTTAGCTTTCATGACAATTCGCCCATATCCGGATTGGACTGCTGGCCTTGAAAACATCCTTTTTAGCCACACTCATTATACACTCGCCACAATTTTTCCTTATTACCCTCACGACTCCTATAACTGGTCTGGCAAAAGCTTCGCTTTTGTTCAGTGCAATCGGACGATTAGCAGCCACCAGGGCTCATAGAATTAAAGTATTGTGTATGGTCCTTGTCATTGTAAGTGTTACCCCACATCGCCTTACAGACGACTGCTTGACAGACGTGCAAACGAAGATTCTAAAGAAGCCTTTCACTTCAATCCAAGAAAGGCCTCCTGCTTCCATTGTTCTCAAAGCGTCTTGCAAGGACATATAGGATAGGCGGGTTTCTTCCGCGCCTCACAATTGGTCCACTTGTTACGTGTGCGTGAACGTTGGGCATAGACATGTCAACGGAAGGAAGTTAGCAAAGACCGTTTACAGTAAAAACAGAAGGTTTAGAGACAGAGTGTCTGGGACGCAGGCTAACAAATTCTACCTGTTAAAGATGATTTTCTTCCAAATCCGATTATCTGGTATGTAAGGATGGGGTGTAATTCATTATGTGAACACGAACCTGACCTCTTAATCTAACTCAATTTCAATTTTATTTCAAGAAATATTACTTGGCGTTATAGTAACGCAATAAATTAATGACATAATGAACATGAACTAAATTTTATCAATAAAGATTTTTGTGCGGTAGTCAAGGTGCCCCTGAGAACAATGGGAATTGTAACGAGGAATAACAATTATGTACAGCTTAACATGGTTTTCTTTGAACATAAAGGGCAATGAGAAAAAGTCCCTAACAACTCATGCATTCCGAACAAACTAACCAACTACAATATGAAAATATCAGCAATTTCAATTCATCATTTACAAAATAATGCAAAATCAAATAAATAATTCATATTACAACAAGCATCAATGAGCATTGGCAACACAAGTAAAGCCCGGCCTTGCCCTCACTCGTCTCTTCTGATTTGTAGGCAGAAACGGTGATAACTGAGGAAGACCATTACGGCATTAAGTAGAAGGGACAATGAGAGAGGACAATGGAAGAGAGAACTAGCAGATCGTAGCAAGCGTTTCGAGGAAACGCTTGCTACGCAGGCTAAAGCATTGGCTGTATCTTTTAGTCTTAATTTTTATGTATTCTGCGTAAGGTAATGGGTTTGCGGATGTAAATTCGGCAATCTTGGGCAGTTTGATAAGACGTTTTCTATTTGCGGTTTGCTTTCAAACACGGCGTCTGGCAGAGGTGCCAACAATCAGTCTCCTCTTTTCCCTCCTTCCCGTCTCCCACGGATCACATCTTCCACTTGCTTACCTCGTTAATATTAATACTTAAGAGATAAAAGAGACAACTAGGGAAGATGTTTTTGAAGAAGAAGAAGAAATTTGCTGAATTAGCCGGGATCAAATGTTCAATAAGCAAATACTTTTTCCAAAGTCTCCACTAATAAGAGTTTGGAAAAAAACGGTCGATCATATTAAACGAAAGTCATTCTGTTTCAGAACTAAGTTATCAAAATAACACCTCCAATTTCCGGGCGTTGGTTGCGTAGAACAGCGTACATTTTGTACCATAAATCCCGCACGATAACTCATCTGCATTATCTTGGTCAATCAAGGGACAAAATGAGAGATCCTCTACTAGAAATCTTACTCCCTGCTGGACTGGCTGTACAAGGGATGTCGACAAATCGGACAGGTACGACTGAAAGAGACAAAAAACAATGATTACAAATTTTTCACAAACCTTTCAAGAAATAAAATATTAGCGAAAAAAGCAATCGACCTATTTTCTTCTTTCCCACCTACAGAAAAGTTTCTCAAAAAGGACACTGTACTGACAACAACAACAACAACAACAACAACAATAATCCTTACTTCTTGTTTAAAATTTACAAGAATTTAAATGGACTGTTGAGGCATGAGGCAGCAAGTGATCGATACGTCAGACGGTTCAAATTAATAGAATTTACTACTCCTTGAAACATTAATAAACATTTCTGATATGAAAAAGTGAAAACTACAAATAAAGAACATTTCCCTTTCCTTAGCTTCAACTCCATTTGCTTTGCACGAGTAATTATCAACAGTAACTCAGCCCATACCAAGCCTAAGGGCGCTTTGCATTTGTCAGAACTGGCCGGCCGGGCCACCGCCAGACCACTTAGTTTGACAATGAAAGCTGCTTTTTCCAAGGGTTTTTGCTGAAACCATCTCCTTCATGTACACTATTTAGGATTTGACTGATCTGGCTGGATAGTTTTGATTAAAAATCAAATTCTCATTATGACGGCAAGGGTCTGGCAGGTCAGTTCTGAAAAATGGAAGCGCCCTAGGTAACCTGACGACTTACATGCCGTTTTGTATCATTGCAATTGCACATTCTCTGTGGACCTTGTGTGAGCATGGTAATATCTGGCAACCACTGAATGCATCCTGCAAATAATGAAAAGAAAAAAAATTGAATCAGCATTGCAATTTACTGTAACAGTCTTTAGACACGTATAAACAAGCTACTATCTGTCTTTTTGCTCTAGTGATAGGTATGAAACTGCCCTCTACCCTGCTCAAAAAATATAATGAAACCGCATCTACGACCATCCTGTTTCGACGTCTACATTCTTTTGACTTAATTTTGCACTTGAATAATCAGTCATTTTCTTTTATGACAAGCCTATCATTGCAATAAACAAGCGCGGCAGATTTTCATGGTAACTGAACAATGTTGATAGAACCTCACCTCCAAGCAAATACAGCATTCGTCGTGACCTGAATCTGGTCGACATTTGTGATTTCCCTCTAGGCGTTTGTCTAAACACACATTACACACTTCACAGTGGAATGATTTGTCCTGATGAATTCTGGAAGATAAAACGTTAACATTGATACAATTGCAGAACACTATAGCAATACTTATGATCGCCTGATAAAACGTGCAAAACAAAAGCGCATTGGTTCTGGAAACAAAAGGTGGTTTTCGGTAAGATTAGGCCTTTTAGAGATCCAAATTGTTTTTTACATCCCAACCTCGATGCTAGGATCCTATTCCTTACTTGGAACGTGACATTGAACAAGAGGCAGATTGAATAAATTGAATGATTTTGCTTTATTTCGCTATTCGCGTTCGGCAGAACGCATCCTAATCTGGTGTTCCTGTGGTACAAAGGCAAAAATTTTCGGCCTGTCACGGGCGAAAGCCGATTAGCCGCCCCTCTTAATTTTATCAGGGGCATCTGGACTCCTTTGGACTCGTTTTCGTTTCCCTTATTCTCCTTTTCGTGCAGACGTCAAGCTCGTAGAATAAGACGAACACGGATTCATAAATTCAATGATTATTACAAGTCCTAATATTTTAGAGCAGTTTTAACACAGGGTGTCTAGTAGCGAGGGGCGTTTATCAGAGAGGGGTGTTAAATACAAGCTTAAAATTGCAGCGGGGCGTTTATTACACAAGAGGCGTTATTTGAGAGAGTGCGTCTATTTAATAGTTCATACGGTACTCTTAATTTTGCTAGAAGGATGTTTCTCTTGACCTACCGGCATATTCCACATTTTTCACAATGGTACGGATTCTTGTCCACACTGGTGAAATGTTTACAAATGGCACAGAAATAAGCAGACATTTTCCCTCCACACTTACGACACTTTGCACTGTCTTCACCAATCTGTAACAACAATCACAAAGTAGTTTAATCGAGGATTTAGTGTCAAGTGCAAACTGGGAACCAAACCATTTACAATACATCGTCTCCCAGAGAAGTAGAGCACTCTCCCTACCCACCCCTCCACTAAACACACAAACACAAAGTCGAATACGATCTTAATCTCATTCACAGCGCAAACATTTCTGCTCAGGTTTTTATTATTTAAGTAGATGTTTTGTTTGAAACAGAAGTTCATGCTCTAGCTAGCTTACAGGCACTTAAAAATAATCAAGTGTCAGAAAACTATCTGTCGGGAAGTAACCAGCTGGCTATTTACAAGCACGATCGAGCATTTGAACTCGGAACAAACGAGCAGGAGATTCGAGCGCAAAAACTCGGACTTCCAAGACTGAGGCGCTGAGCACTCGGCCTTGCCGCCTTTCGGGTTTCCTTCTTTCCGGCCTGGCTACATGCATTTAATTGAAACCCCGCAAAGACCAATCAAGAACAACCGATTTCTCCCTCTTCCTTAGAAATGCCTGCAACAATAGAAGTTGACTGTATAACTATTGTATCAGTTATGATACCTTATCCAGACCTAAGGCTCTATATTCATTTCACTCGTAAATAAACTTCCGGCGGAAAGGCGGAACAATAAGACATCCTGGTTGTTGACCATTTATATGGGCAAACTGATCGGTTGACGGTTTGGGCAATTCAGGGCTGGTAAACTTCGTCCAGGAATCACTTTCAAACGACTTCGTGGCTCGCTCGGCTACAAAAGCTCGCGTCTGCTTGGTTAGAAACTCGTGACGTCCACCTGTGGCAAGTTTAGCGCCGGAATCGCGTTTACCACTGATTTGCGCAATTCAAAACCATAAATTAAAAAACGTTCGCGAAGGCCTCAAACTGGTTTCAAAGAAAGCTTTGAATAAATGAAATACGAATCTCCGTTTAGAACATGCAGTCCAGGAGTACCGTTTCGGATGTTCCGTTGCTCCCGGAAATTTTCCGCTGAAACGCCCCAAAAGTCCAACCGGATTTTCTGGAACATTTTTGTAAATGGTCAATAACTCCTTAAACAAATCTTCATGAAAAGTCCGCCACTTCCGGTTTTAATTTATTTACATTCGCCGAAACAGCCAATCAAATTACTTCCGCCGCACCCATTTCCCATTTAGGAAAATGCAGAAATTGACGAATTCTAATATATATTTATGTATTATCCTAAGCAAAAACAAAGTCTTGCGAGAATGAGGATGTTCTTGGATGTTTCGTTTATTGGGGGAGACGGTTTTCAAAAGGACTACATTTTTTTAAAAGTGGAAATTACGACTGTCGGCTCGAAAAAAAAAAAGTTATAAAGCCCGCTTAATATCATCTGTATCATCGGAACGACGAAACGACACACGCAAAACTGTCGAAATAACCTAGAAATGAAGCAGTTAAAAATGCACCCCGCAGTCTGTTGTGCTGTTGTTTTTTTTGCGGGTCGTGAATGTTCGCTAACTTTCACTATCGAAAATCAACGCGAGCGACAAAAAAAAAGCCAAAAAAGGAAAGTTCTTGAAGGGTCCAGTTGTTGACTTCACCCTCTGTTTGAAGAAAAAACCCTTCTCTCGAAAGGTTTAAAATTAGACATATGTTAAGCAAACTTTAGAAGCGGCTCGTCGAAGCATCTTTTAAAAAACAAATTGAAACATGAAAGAAAGTGAGCTCCCAAACTATCGTCACATTAATTCTCCATCTCGTCCTTACAGTTTTCCATTAAAACTGAAAATTCCGATAGGGGGAAATGTTGCTTTTGTTTTGTTATGTTTTTTCCCTAGAGATCCAACGTTTATAACCAGCAGGACTTTGATCCACGGTTTTGGCAGTTAATTTAATTGCTTTTGTTTCGTTTTTCTAAGAGACGCCATTTCCCTGTCACGTCATGTTACTAGTGATTAGCGATCATACACCTGAATCGCGGTTCATATGATGGGAACACTGGTCGGCACTGGCACCAGGCTCTTTATTGGAGAAAAAGGGCAAAGAACGGGGGCCACCGTGAAGAAAGGAGCGCAAACCGAGCGGGGGATTGAAGGGAGAAAGGGGCGGCGGCCCTTTCGTTCGGCTTCGATTTTTTGCATCCGGTATTCGCCATTTTTCCCTACCAATGAGCCTGGTCTTAGCCAATACTTAAAAAAACAGAGGTGTTGTGGGAGATGCCTGAACGGTGTAGTGGGTAATGCGACTACACAATTCAAACATCTGTTTTGCTATCTGTTAGGACGAGTTCGGTCCCTCCGAAAAACCATTTTTCCAATGTTTTTTTTTCCGTCTTGTTTTTTCTTTGGTTGCTGTTTTTATTTCATTTGCTTGTTTGCTTCCTACGCGACAAATGGACGCGGTTAGAAAAAAAATCGAGAAAAATCTTGATTTCGTGGAAGAGTCTTTCATGTTTTGTTCATAGATAGCTGTTTGGTAGATAAAAAAACTTAACGTGAGTTATTCGCACCAAAAGCCTGTTATTAAATAGAATTAAAATACCTGGAAATTGAGCTGAGCTTTTAAATGAAATCTTTGCAAGCCGGCTCTGAAGTTTAGGAAATTTCAGGGTGCAAAAACTTCCAATTTCGAAACGCACAAACGCAGATATTTGAACCCTGGACGCTCGTTATAGTTTATACTTCTTGTAGGTTTTCCCGTCACTGCACGACTACGACGTGAATTGCCTAATTTCACGTTTTATCGACAACGTGAACTTACGAAAGCGAATCTCTCTTACTCTTTGTAAACCTGAATATTTTTCTTAAGAATTCAACTCCAGGAGAGTTCGCCTACATGAAACATAGTGACCGAGTTGGGATGATTGCGCTTAAGGTCTCGGTAAAGGAAAACGAGGTGCCCACAGAAAAAAATTCTAGTCGCGCGAGTATTTTCGCTACAAAGGCAAGTTATATATCAAATTAAAGCTAAAAGACTAAATTACCTTATAAAAGATTTTATTTCATCGAATTTCAAAGGGCGCTTAAGGTTTTTGCTCTCGAACTCAGAGGTATCGAGTTTACTGCTGAAGCTCCAGCCCTTTCGCGTTGTTAAATATTCGCTTCCTTTTTATTGCGTCTGATTGACAGATAAAAGACCTAAAAAAGGGTGTGAGGAAATTTGCATATGTCTCGTATTACCGGAATTATTGCACTTCAAACTAAAAAGTCGAATCTCGAGCGTGATTTACGCAAAGAAACTGACATAAAATGAGTTACAAAGGGAAATCGGAAAATTCCTCACACCCTTTTTGAGTCTATATCATTATCCATCATATCTGAAAGTTTCAAAGCGATAGCTTAAAACCTGTCCCGACTGGAGGTCGGAGAAGTTTGATTTTTGCGTCTAAAATAGAGTGAGGGAAAATCAGCTCTAAAGATTTAGCGCGAGGTCCTCGCTTGGCTGGTTAGCTCAGAAAAGGCTCATTTTAGAAGGGTTAAAAAGCACTTTCTGATTTTCTTTTTCTGCCAAAATAAAATTTAGGACCCCCTCATGACAAAAATCCAAAAAAAACAAAATCGAGCAATGTACTAAAATTTTCATTTACCGAGACCTTAAGTTTCATAGATCGAGGAGTCACTTTTTAAGCGACGTTTTTGCCGCCGTCGCCGTCGTGGTATCTTAAACTCCCTAATATTTAACCTCAGACAGCCGTCACCGCAGTCTCGAAGTAGTCTATAATTTACATATTTGTATATACCTGATTGAAAATCGTTGTCGCTAAGATGAAAAAACATCGATCGACGATCGAGCTAGAGTTATGGTACTCGCTTTTTTTCGAGGAAAAGGACTTTGATAATGGTAATTCACAATAAGAGTGAGGAAACAAAAATATACTTCGCTCTGTAACATTTCGAAACGAGGAAATTTAGACTTTTCGCATCAGCTGTTACACGCTTTTGATCATATTTACATGGAAAATTAAAGGCGCGTTATAAATTTTTAATCATTATTACTTCCACGCTTTCGCTGAGCCAAAGGTTCTAAGGTATGATTAGATTAATGTCAGGTCTAAATGTGTCATTAAACAAGAATTGAGAAAATCTGAACTCGTATCACAAGATAAACAATGCAGCAGGTAAGACCTATTAAATTACAGTTTTTGTTTTCTTGAAAACCTGTTCTTTGCTTGATTTTGAATTATGTCCGTCGGAGGTGTCTCGAAAAAGCCCAAAATTATTTTCTGGTGAAAGGAAAAGAGTTTTTCTCTTGATGGAAAGTGTCCAAATCTCTCCGTGCGGCTTTTTGGCGAACGCCAAGAGACTTATCTGCCGATTTTCAGGTTAAAAATAGGCCATTTGGAAACTTCCACCACGGAAACCGATCATATTCTTATTTTTCTTGAAATTTTGGCGAGAACAATTTCATCAGCTTTCTTATCTAACAGGGCCCAGTTGTTAAAAGGGCGATTAGCACTTAACCCGGGATTAAATTTAACCCGGGTTTCTTTTTCTTTTGTTCAAAAGCATTTTCATGGACAACTTTCTCTGTTAAGTTTAAGAGCATCCAATCTGAACTTGCAGACAAACTTGACTTTTTAAGCCTTATGTCTGACCCGGTGTCAACTTAAATCAGCTTTGAACAATTCGGCCCGGAATGATACCAGTAGACAGGAACTAATAATAATAATAATAAAAACGATTTTTCATCTCCTGCTCTAGCCTGAGTATCAGGCCTTCCTAAGGGGCTAGGGGAGAGGAGATTTTAGATGGGGGAGGAGGGAGGGGGAGAAGAGAAAGGAAGGTTTCTCTCCTTCAGCTCTCTCCCTTTTTCGCTTCCATCTTTCCCCTTTTCCCCAGAAACGCCTGATACTCAGGCTACTCCTGCTCGCAATGATAGGTATCTCCTAACCTTACATAATATCTGACCCTGACCTTTGAGCCGAACTATCTCTACAAATTTTCTCAATGGAGTGAATAAGATAAAAGAAAGGCAAAGAAAACCAGTTCTGGAGAATGCCATTCAAATGAGTTTTATGTCACAGACCATAATTCTGATCATTCTGATTCAAAATAGAACTGTGCTCTACAGAAAGAAATTTCCTTAACAGCGGCACACTGGTAATCGAGCCTTTATTGCTTATTGATTTTTTTTAGTGTAAAATGAAAATAAAAATTTACCTCCTGTTCATGCTGACAGTGAGAGCACTTCAGGTGAGTGGCGTGACAAGCTTTAGCCTCTTCATTGTCACAAGCTTTCGAGATGTTGTGACAGCGATGGCATGGATAGAATTGTGTGCAACAAGGGAATCGAACTCTGCAGTGCCGCTGATAATGTTCACATAACCATTGTGATCGTGCGTTGATGGCCTCTTGTTGTTGTGGCCAGTTTTCAGCTTCTCGTAACTCTCTTTCTTCTCTCTCTCTCCTTTCTCGAGCTCTTTGTTCTCTTATCAACTGTTCTTTCCTTTCTATTTCTCTTCCAAACTGTTCACGTTCCTCTCTCTCCCGAAGAACGCGTTCAACAAGGGCACAAGCTTCCGCAACACGCCGTTCCAGAGCAAGTAACGAGTTGTCAGAGGCCTCTATTGAATCAGTACCAAAGTCTGTGTTGTTTAACACAGAAACTCTATTGTTGTCTGTGTCACCAAGACGTGGTTCTAAAACAGAAGTGTCATGAGTAGATCTCGCTGCCAAAACACCATCGAAAGTTGTGGAATTTCCAAGCTGATACCGTGCAGCTGAATTTGCATCATCAGCAATGTTTGCAGTTGTTGTCCTTGAATTTCCAAGTGTTAAATTTGGTTTCTGAGCCGGTTCATCTGAGCCCTGATTAGAAATAAAAGCTGAAACTTCGTCATCACCAGTAAACCTATTTGCATCGTGAACAGAGCCCGTAAGCTGCTCACTTGAAAAGCTACTAAATCTTGGTGCATTATATACAGGATCCCCAGGTAGTGTTTGCGCTGCACCTGTCCATGAAGGGTCAGCAAAACTTGAACCAGTCATTCCTAGATTTCTATTTAGAACAGGGTCTTCACTTGATATAGGGGGATATGGTGCTTGCTGTGCTGACGGCAAATAAGTCTGTCCATCAAAATGGTCAACTCCTGCAAATCTACTGCTATTATGTACAAAGTCACTTTGAAGAGAATAGTTGTTGGCACCAGTTGAAGTATTTCTTGATAAATAGTTACTATGCAATGAGAACAAATCATTTCCTACACGGCCGGGCGAAAGACCTGAGTTGTCACTGAAAGGTTCCGCATTTGAAGGGCCACCCAGATGTCTACTAGATCCACTTACAAATGAATTTCCAGTTCCAATAAAAGGCTCTGTCCCAGATGCAACCTGGCAATCGCCAAAGTACGCCTGGGCTCTGCTAAATTGAGATATGTCACCGCCACTAAAGGAAGTCCTCTGCGATGGAAAGTCATTGAAGAAAGAACCAACATCAGTTTGATAGATGCTGTCATGAAGGGATTTGTCTTGGGTATGTCTCGCTAAGAAATCGCCAGCTAAGCCATCGGTTATATACACAACAGGCTCTTTTGGTACTTGTTCAACCACTGTATGTTGAGTTTCCTTTGGTCTAGCACCTTGACGTTTCCAGTCTGTTGCATCTGACGATGGTGGAGTAGTTTGGCTTTCTCCATCTGAAAACACCTGCTGCTGTGTTGAAGAAACACTTCCTCCATTTGCAATACTCTGAGTTCTGGCAAGGCTAGAATCTGAACTAATTAGAGAATCTGTTTTTGTACACTCAGTGATTGTCTTTGTGCTATATGGAACTGTCATTACTGCTCCATCACAGAAATCATGAGACTCAACCACTCTTTCTTCGCCATTGGCGGCACATGCCCCTCGTAGCTGGCCATCTTCATCTGCTAGCTCGTTGCTTGGCCTGGCCATCACATGAGAGATCCCTTGAGAATCCCATGTGGTGAGATTGGGGTCGCTGTAGCCAGAAGTTGACTGGGAACCATCTGACATCACTTGAAACCCATCAACTTCAAAAGAAGCTTGTAAAATGCTGTTAGACATTGCTGGTGCAGTCTTGTCAGAATTTGCTGACAAATCAGACGAGCTGCGACTGGAATTTGACCTAAACATAACATCTGAAGGGATGGGTGACTTAGGACTTTCCTCGACCAGCACAACATTTTCCACACTCTTATTTGACAAATGTATGTCACCGTCTTCCTCAACTGAGCTTCCACTGGATAAAATTGATGAACACTGGCTTTGACCATGATCTATTTCCTCTGCTCTTAGTGATATACCATTTTCATCACTGCCTGTAAGCTCAAAAGAATTTTTTGAGGAAGGTGCATAATCCATCTGCATCTTCATTTCAGGTCCATCTGTCTGTTCATCCAAAATGTTGTCTTGGACAGGGGCAGACTTGGCTGAATTGGAAGCATGGTCTGACTCAACAGAACTGTTTGATCCTACAAAACAAGTATTATGCGATGTTAGGGGATTCTTTGTTCTGATGTGCAATATAGAAAAAATAAGAGCCATACATCAGATGATTAGCTCAATGTAAGGTGCAAAAACACTTTAAACCCCAAAGGAGGCGCCATTATTTTGTACTCCACCGACAATTGTGTTAATTTTGGATTATTGCCATTTCCAACGTGATTTAGCGTGTTCAGCATGATGAACAATCAGATTTTTTTAAAAAACGGTAATTTAATTTAGCTCATCTTAAACAGCATTTTGCAGAATTGTGAGAATGTCTATGATTTGGTCAGTACACCATTTGACAGTTGTGTTCGGTGCCTTAGCCTTTGAATAAATGGACTGACGGAGGTGAACTTGCATTGCTACAAACATTCCAGTTTTCACATGTAAATAATCTTGTAAATAGACTTGTGAGCATGATAATAATGCAATTTTCCAATGAAAAGCAAGAAGGCTTGTAACAAAATACCTCCAGCCTAGCTTCTATTAAAAGGCCAGGGCACTTAACACACTTGTGTAAAAAATAATTTCCCATTTTGATTTATTGAGTTTCTATACTTGGTCGATCAATGTGTACAATTTTATTTTTAGTTGATGATTTGGTAGCATGCTTGGTGTAAGTTGTAAGTTTGCTGTAACTAAATTAGCACAAAAACAGGGGCAGGGCCCTTACACAATTTTTTTCATAGTTTATCATGGTGCAAGACAGCCTAAAATCACATAGGCTAATCCCTGGAGAACACAATAATGAAAGGGGCTGATATAACTCTTGCCTATAAGCAATATCTTGCATGTAATTTATTGCCAGTACTACTTTAAACTTCTTACAGACTTCGTTTTCTTCGGGAATCAAGTAAAATAATATCTACCCCCTTCTCCATAGTTTTCTACAATGAGTGCAACTTTATACATAGGTGAATAATTGATGAACACTCGGCCAACAGACAATCCACAGTCAACTTACAGTCAGGGTTCCATCCAGGATTTCTCGTTTGGGGCAGAAGTCCTGAGTGGCCAAAGGCCACAAGCTTCCTGCGGGGGAGGGGAAGAAGGGGGGAATGTTATAGTGATATTTTATTTTAAAATAATACTGCATGTTCCTTGTCATCTAGTGTCCTCAGACAGGGAATACTAATAATTCATGTGCAGACCTTGTCGCGTCTGGATGATTTTTCCGATGCAGTTACTTATACACTGTAATGATCACAAACTGTTTTTTTGGGGGGGGGGGGGGTGGGGAAGCTGGGCATTTTAGGGGGGAGGCTTCTACCTCTCAAATACCCTAGACAGAACCCTGACAGTCAGTCCCAAGAAGGTGTTCTTCCTTCACAATTAACCATTGTCGAATGTTATCATTGCACAAAGAGACTGTACCCTTACTTTAAAATAAACTTTTTGATATAATCACTGTTTTAAATTTGATGAACTTTCTCTGACCTTTTCTACTCCTTGGTAAGGGTGCATGAATTCCAAGTTTTTCCACAAGATCATATCGCTGAATTCCACCAAGCAGTTGCCCAACATAGTTTAAGGAAAACAATCCATTCGTTTCCAGTTCTTCAAACAGTTCAAACGCCTCTGATATACGTGCAAGTCTGAAACCATTGACTTTGCTTTTGAGCAACAACTTGATCTTTTTCACTTCTGCAGATGACAATGAGTTAGAGATCTCTAGGAGCCTTGAATGCAGGAGGAGACCTAGAGAAAGGAAAATCAAGAACTTTTAGGAATTTGAAACTAATTATTGTCCACTAGAGATAACAACTAGGCAAGATCCGGTATTGGCCTGAATATACACCCAAAAATTGTATACAGATATTATGACATTCAGTCACTGGACAATGTTCGACTGTGAAAAATTACTGCATGACATTAATAACCTTATTTGTGGTCGACATGATGATTTTGCATACATGCAGTGCATAGATCTGTACAATGTAGCCTTTCAACTTTCTTTAGTTTGTCCCTTTAACACCGTGACCTGAAACTGAGACATACACTGGGCACCCTTTGAAAAAAACATTGCTGGCAAACCTGTTACTTGTACTCATTGTCCATTAACCCTTTTTAAACCTTTTTTAAATGCCTTCCCGCCCACAATGGCCACAGGGTTTTAGAAAAGACACTTTTTCACTGTTTCATGAAGTCACATGAAATTTATCGCAGTTAACAACAAGGAGCACCGTGTCTTGTTGTCTGTCAGCAGTCAGTTTGGTGGTTCAAGTGTGGTCAGTGTTGCATGAGCTCTATGTGCTGAGCACAGCATTTCCCGCTGGCCACTTTCTTGATTTACCCATTTTATTGTTCATATACCCCCACCCCCTCTCCCTTTTATTTTTCGACAGATGAATAAGAGTGATAGGTTCCTGGTTCCATTGGCATGGGGGCTCATGGCTAAAAGGCACAGGTTTACCAGCCATCGGGGTGTAACTCTATTTAGGGGCTGGCTTTGCCTCCTCCACTAAGGGAAGCAGTTCTTTAATATTCTCAGCACCAAACACAAGTTAATAATGGCAATAGAACTGAGTCGAGTCGTCCAATTTGGTCTCTAATCATGCAAGTGATAGACAAATATTATTGGATGACTGCATGGTGGGAGTCCAATTTGTTAATCACGACTATGATTACAGACCAAATTGGACGAAATGGAGTTCTGTTACCAATTAATCATAACCAAAACAAAATTGGTGATATTTTAGACTGCTAGCAGTGACAAAAAAGCCATTTACATGCAAGTGCACAAGTGCGATGGTGCGTACTGTCCAAATACTTAATTAGTGCTGAAATCAGGACAGTTGATAGCCAACGAGATTTGAGAATTTTGTTGTTGTTATGAAAACTAGTTTAATCACTTATCAGTACATCTCTGGCTTACCAGGCTCTTGCACTGCAGTTGCCCCACCAAGGAGCCTTCCACGGCGCTTCTCTTTTTCTTCAAGAAAGAGGTATCTCCCTAGGTCAGCTTGAAGCTCTCGTTTCTCCTCCTCACTCTGCTTCAACCTTTCTTCCAGTTTTCTGATCTGTTGTTCTAATTCATAACGATCCTTCTGAGAAGCTGCCAACTCATCCTCTAAATTGGCCAGCAGAGTTCTAAAAAAATCCTCAGTTGCAGCTCCTGTGTCAACTTTGTCTAAACTTGCCTCAGACAATGGTCTGTGAATACTCTGTTGAGGTCCTTCAACCTTTGAACTTTGATTTGCACATAAATCTTCAACACACTGAGTTGTCAAGAGCTTGATGTCATTACCAATACTTGAGTCCTTGTCCTTTGAAGAAATATTCTGTACTGCAGCTTTCTGATCAGTAGAACTTATCACCACTTCCTCAGCTCCATTGATGTTTTCGACGGTGAATGTTTTTGATGGTTTAGTCTCCCGTGTTTCAGGATGACAACAACTCTGTTCTACATTTAAGCATTCCTCGTAACTTGATTGTGAAAATGCACATGCATCAACAGACAGTGAAGGCTCCTTTGGTAAATTAACAGACAGTCTACTGCTCTTTGTAATTCTTAATGGATCATCAGACAGGTGTTCTCTGGATTCACAAACATAAATTACATCAGAAGAAGGATCTGCCTTGCATTTCTTGTCAAAAGATGATAAGCTCTCACATGGGGACTTTGTTGATGTGAAATGATTATAGTCCGCTAGAGGGACCGTAGAAGCGGTTGTAGGCACTGAGTTCAATGAAGACGAAGTAGCACTTGAAAAGATCAAACTTGAAGACAGACTGGAATCATTTGAAATGTCACTGCCACACACAACAACGTCAGTTGACCATGTTCCACAGCTGTTCAATCCTTTCTCTCCATATGATACAGGTTTTGAATGATTTAACAGGTACTCCAGAAGGCAAAGGCCAACATCTACATAATGAAACTTGTCATGGGGATAGTATAAAGGGTGGATGATGTCCGGATTCTGTTACAGAAAAGATTACACATTATTACTTTTATCATGCAAAAAGCCTGCTGTTATAGTTAGTATAAAGCCTTAATGATCTTAAGGTAAATTGTACAACTTTCTTGTTACTTCACCTGATTGAGATTGGTTTTGGCCAATAAATTATTCTATACTTTGTAAGCAACTAATCATTTAGTTAATTGACCTTCTGTTCATACCACCTAGAAGTAGGACTGCAATGATACACTGGTGCATCTGTGAATCGCGATAATTATTTCTTGCCATGACACAAATATGGAAATCTGAACAACATATTATGATATCATGATTCTTCATCAACATTCAGAAATTACTGTCTTTAATGACTCCTTATGCCAACCCAAGCCCTTTTATAGTTATGTATATTAAACAAAAGGACAAGAAAGTTCCATCCTTGCTTCGTACATGTATTTTTCAAGATGGTGGCACAAACACGTATGTACATTGTGTAGTTCCACTGAGTTGTCAGCTGACACACTCTTGCCCGCCCACAGGTAAAACGTGCTGTTTGTCAGAAAATGTCTTTCCGTGTTGGTGGAACAGCTGAATGAGAACTGGCACCATCCTCATTTACATCAAAGGTGTTGAAATGATTTGGATTCAAGGCATTTTATGATCACAAAGGTGTGACAAACGTTGCAAACGAAACTGTAATCTGTTGCCATTGTTTCTCGCAACTACGATACACTGGCTAAACAACCAATACAAGTTTTCATGTCCTACAACATCATTGTGCTCTGTTAATGACAGCGTGTTAATAATTTATTACCATGTTTTGTTATGAATGGAAATGATTGATTTCAAAGCAGTTTAGTAAGATTACATCACTTGTCAGTTATATGTAATGATGTATCACATTGTGTATCGTATCATGGCACCTGTATCGAGACATTACTGTATCGTGAGAAAATGTATCATTGCAGCCCTACCTAGAAGTGAAAGCAACTTGTAGTCTACTAAGATTGTCATTACATGCAAGACAGGAAATATCTTCCAGATCCTGGCAGAAAATGAACTTGGTGGGTACAATGTAATTGGGTGAAAGGAAGTCATGTTACATGCAGTACACACTTACTAGGCCCTACGTATTCATGGGGTACAAAACCGCCATGCTGTACCCTGCAAGCAGAGGTTTCTCTTTCGCAAGGCTTTTAGCAATTATGAAGTCATTTGCGTCGCTTGTCAGTCGCATAGTTGGTTTCTCTGGGGGCGTAAACAAATGAACTATGCTACTGAAGGACTTTGCAAATGCTAAAAGCTATGCAAGAGAGGATCCTCTGCTCGCAGGGTAGCCATGATGCTGGAGAGCAAGGGATGCAATGGGAAAGAAAAACCAAAGAGCTCACATCATTCAAAATCAAAGCAATTTCATTTGCTTGTTTTCATCTAGTGTATATTTTACTTTCCAGCATGGTGGTTTTGTAAATGTAACAAGTGAGTGACTTACAGTGTGCTGCAAAGGGCAAATCGTCTTGGAAGCTTAAGATAGTGTTAGTAGTAACACTACTACTACATCCTTCAAACAAAGTTAATTCAAACTTACTTCCAAGCTGACAGTAGATTCGAGTGGTTGACACCGCTGGTGAGTTCCTCTGTCTTGTTCACCTGAAAACTCATGTGCCTCACTGTGGTGGGTGGGTGACCTTCCGCTGCTCTTATCAACCTACAACACAATAACCAATAAAATAATAATGCTAAAGTGGGAGGAGATGAAATACCAATAAGGCCATGAGTGACTCTCGAACTAAATGTTTATGTCTCTGTTTCACAAGAAAATTAAAGGTGTTTCACAACAGAGAATCTACAGGTTTATCAAAAGTCACTATATGGGATTCGTTCTAATGATGTCATTAATAATCTGTATCATGGGTGTCTCTAGTGGTGGGTGCACTAAGTTGCTCTGGAAAATGTTTTTATCCTTAAGTTACATTTGGTAGTCATCAGTGTTAAATATTAATTTGCAAAAATTCAACGTTCCATGTACATGTAACACTGAAATATAACAAAAGTTATAAAAAAAGAAAAAGAAAAATTTTAGAAGAAAAAAAAAATACAGAAAAGCCAAAGCCATTGAAGATAATATTTACAAGGGACTGAACCTGGACCTGGCTGCAAACTACATGCACTGTATCTTGTTTGCATGTTTAAAAATCATTTTTATTTTTGTTAACCACTTTGCCAAAAAATCTAACATCACAATAATTTTGTCCACCTGAGCAACTTGCATGACTCCACACCTTTTAGAAGCAGCTGACCCCTAAGGGAACTAATGAGATGTATTTTCCATGAACAACTGTATCTGTTGCGTCAATACAGCTTGTCCACTCATACAAGTTGTGAAACATATTTTCTACTTCTATCATGTCTAAAGTATTGGATATGGTTTGCTTGTAACTAGACAAGTATCCTTTTATTCTTACATATCATTACATTTCAACTGATACATAACCAGAACACCATGCACTGTATTGGACACTCACATTCTGAGCTTGGGTAACCAGTGGTTTTACACGTCCCCATGGTTGTAAGAGAGTTGGTCTTTTGTCTTTTTTCAAAGGTTGAAGTCCTTTCGATGAGCCTGAAAGAAAATCATTTTGATGATTAAACTAGCCGGTTAAATCATACACAGAGTAAACAAGGAGGAACTGGGTGAACATGCAATGAAGATGATGTGAACTGCGGAAATACAAATTTCAAATGAACATATGATCATCACAGAGGCAATTGCAATTTATTGCAAATTAACCCCCTACCCCCCCCCCCCCCCCAAAAAAAAATTCAGGACTTCATTGGGATTCAAACCCATAGCCTCTGCGTTAGTGCTGTAGTGCTCTACCAATTGAGCTATGAAGACCTAGACATTGGGAGCAGGCCAATTTGTTGAATTCATCTTAACCTGAGAATGGAAATAATTATGTATCCAAATTTTGCACTCTTCTAAGATCCCCTTCACATTTTCCTTTGTTTATAATGCATGCTATTTTTTGACATTCTCCTTGCAGACTATTAAGGCAAATTCAAAATATATTATATAACTACTGTGGGCAGTTAAAATAAGAGACCTTACATAGGGTTCTAAATATTCCTTACTTTGAGTGATGTTAAGCATTGTTTCAACGAGTCTATTACATTGATCCTGCCAGTTGTACATTTTTGCATAAGTTTCACGTAGGATTCTAGACTCCAAAAGTCTCATGTCCCTGTCTTTGTGATGGACAGCTTTGATTGCACTGGCCCAATCTTTAGGATCTTCGGAGTCCACCACACAGCTTGAACCATACTGAACTTTCTTTAAGGCCTGACCTAGACCAGAGTTCCCACTGACCAGCACAGGCAGACCAGCAGACAAAGCCTCAAGGGCAGCAAGTCCAAATCCTTCAGTTCGCGAAGGCATTATTGCAAGGTCTACTTCACAAAATAGTTGAGCTAGCTGCTCTCTGCTTCCATTAAAGCAACGTACAGTTAGTTGACTGCGATCAATGCCATAATTGAGTAATAAATCTTGTACTCTTTCCTCTTTTCCACTTGGTGCACCAACAAACAAAAGTTTATAGTGCTGTGGCTCGTCTTTCAACTCAGCAAAAGCACCAGCAGCGATGTCATATCCTTTCAACTGGAATTCTTCATTATCACCATGTGCAAACACTACCAAACTAAATGTTCTTCTCTCTTCATTGGCATGCCTTATGTCGGCAAATTCAGAGAAGACGCCTGGAGTTAGACTGAAAACATTTTGATCCTTTCCACAGGCACGAAGGTAACCTGAGTATTCTTCAAAAAGCTTGGGTCCCACTGCTACTACTTGATCAGCTAATTTACAGAGTTCAACCTCCACTTGGTGCTTCTCCTCGCCTTGGGAAATGTGTTTTCCATATCCTTTGTACATTCCAATTTCTTCTGGAGAAGTATGTACCACCTGAACCCACTTGCAGTTATGATTACGCTTAATGAACTGCACCTGCCGTCCAAGGACAGTCCCATGTCCTACAACACAGTCTACAGCATGGTGTTCTGGGAGAAAGGACAACCAGTCAACTGGGTCATAACCTGGCATTTCCTTTGCTTTCATGAGATGGACACTATGACTTGCAGCAACTTGTTTATCTTCTTCACTGCACTGAGGGAGATAAACACTGACCTCCACGCTGGGGTGTTTTGCCAACTGAATGGCCAGCTCTCGGTTGATGGTTGACAAGCCTCCCTTTGTAGAGCTCCATTCAGAGCTTAACAGAGTTACTCTCAGTTTCCTTGTGGAATTGGACGCTGTTTTGCTTTCTCGGTCTGTTATTGTTGAATTCCCAGATTCCAAAGTTAAACTACAACCAACTGGGTTACAGTTTACACTTTGACTACAGTTACCATTCAAATATTCTTCATGGCCAAGAACAGATCCAATGCCTTCACAATCCAGCAGCATGGAGGTCTCCAAGTTTATGCTGGCAATTTCTAATAATGACTCAATGGTGACAGTCAGAGCATTTCTTACTGAGGAACAAAGGCAGTTTGCATCGGATTCCTTAACAGAGCAACATTTTACAATGACTGAAAGATTCCTAACAACAACGGTTAAAAACAAATTTTGAGACTCTTGAAAGATGAATCTAGCAACATTTTCTTCCAGGGAAACATCAGAAATTACTTGTACATCTTCATGGAAACCCTTTAGTGCCAAATTTTGACCCAAATTTTGGCTCAAATGGTCAAAAACAAACTCTGTCTCACGCTGGTTGACACACGTAAAGGAAAAATAAGAGACATGTGGTACAGAATGCACAGCAAAGTCCACAGAAGATTGCCAAGATGTCAAGTAATCAAAATCATCACACTGTTCTTGTGATTTTGTTAACTCCAGTTCAACCAGTAACGGGAGGCGGTCAAGGTGACTTGAAAAAGAAGAAATGTCTGCTGAACCTGGGAGTTCCAAATACAGATCCTTTCCTTCTTTGAAACCTTTTCTAAACTTTGGTTGCAGAAATAGCATTTTTACGCTCTCGCGGAAGGAAGCAGCCAGGCAGTTGATTTCTTTAATGTCCAGACCTCTACTTTGAATCCTCCAAAACAAAGTGAAGGGTGACTTTTCTCCAGAGGATGACAAGAACATTTTGGAATCAATGTCATCATCAGCTTCTAATCTATCAGACAATGAATCACATACATGTATAATTAAGACGGCAGGTCGGTTGAATGAAGGAATCTTGTGAGTAAATAGAAACACATCTTGGCCTGCAAAATCCCTCACATTAATTTCATCTATTTCTTCTTCTGTCACACAGCACACAAGTTTATCAAGATACTGGATTCTCTTGGCACATCCTTTCATGTGCACCAAATTAACAAGAGAAATGACCTGCGCTTTCACAAATGAAGATCTGCTTCTCCTATCATCAGCTGTGTCTCTGTAGTGCAGGAACCAGTCTTCGGATGTAAGGATTTCTGTTTCCTTGCTGCCTACATAATCACAAATGGGAACATTGTTTTGGACATCAATAAAGCACTTTTCTGCCTCTTTCACCATGCCCAAGGATTTCTTTAAGACACCAAGAAAACTGCTCCAAAACATGACATCAGGATGATTTAAATTCATTCCAAGATTTACCATCATTTCAATGCCTTTCTGTATTTTCTCAACAGCTGACAAACGGAACTGTTTAAACCTCTGCAAGATCATTCCTACTTGGAAGTATGTACTAGCCATCTTGCAGGATGTCTCACCACAGGACAATTTGAAAATAGTTTCTGCTTCTTGCAAGGTTTCTTGGGCTTGCTGGAAATTTTCCTCTTCAGCATAACAGAAGGCAAATTTCAAAAGAATCTCCCCTACTTCTGGATGAAAGGGATTTAGCTTCTTGAAGATTGTCAAGGCTTTATTGAGGTACTCTAAGGCATCTTTGACATTGCCCTTTAGCAAAATACAGGAACCCAGAACACTTCTGCACAAGGCAACTGAGTGGTGACTTTCTCCACAATAACAAATCAAGATACCTTCAGCCTGTTTCAGTGCAGTCTCAGCATCATTAAACCTTCCAGAACCATGCAGGAAGCTGCCCATTTGGTATAGTAATAATCCATAGAGAAAACTATTTTCACCATGGACAAGAGGGAAAATACTTTGCAACTTCTTTAATAACTCACAGGCTTCTTTGCATTGACCAATACTGAGGCAAAGCTTTGCTGCATTGATAAAAATTCTTAAGAGCTCAGCATCCATTGATATCTTAGAAGGATCTGGTTTAGCTAGCAAAGCAAGTAAACGGGAGATAAAATCTTTCACTTCTTTGACTTCAATTTTTTTATCCATTCCCTCAAGCTGGATTTTCATCAATTGTTTGGATAAAACAGTTGTAGCAGCTTTGTCAGCACCTGGGATGTCAAAGTGAACAGCAGTTCTTAGAATCTTCTTCAACATTTGGTGGTTTCCAAACTCTTGTAACATACTAGCAACTCTTCCCAGCAACTTCACTGGTAGTTGGGCATCATTTGTTGTTCTCATAGAGATGTCATGACACAAGGAAGCTGCAGTGGTAGCGAGATTGGCCGCTTCTTTGTATTTACCCAAGGTCTTCTTCAGAACTGCTTGGTTCAAAGTAATTACTGCATCTTTAATATTGTCCTGATGTCGACAGTAAAGTTTGGCCATATTCAAGCAATCTTCACCCTCATCATATAAGGCATTTTCAATAAACATGACCCCAAGGTTATTCATCAAGAGGAAAGCATTGGCATAGTATTGGTCACAATGATTTTTTATGTAACTCTTAACCATTTCCAATGAAGTTTTGTCATCTTGTAAAAATCCAAAAGAACTTAGGACTGACATATAGTTCACTTGGTTTAAATTGTCATCCTCAAAGCGAGTTAGAACTAGGAACTCAGCTTGGTTATCACTCCATGCTTTCAAAATGGTCTCCTCAACAAGGGAAAGCAATGATTTGAAAGTATTTTTATCCTCCTGGGAAATGGCGAGGTCACCAGGAGCAGTTAGAAAATTTTTAGCTCCCTCTTTTGTCACACTGTTCACACATCTACAGTGGACAACATCCTGAAGTTTCAAAAAAAGGGACCTTAATGTGTCCTCCATTGTAGGCCAACCTCAAGTTACCTGCAAGTACAAAAGGATTGGAAGGCAGTATAAACAACAAAGAAAAAGAACAGACAGATAGGTCACCAGCTGGCTAAATATGTTTTAGCCAGAAGAAAAACCCTTACTCTGGTAGGTCAAATAAATAATACAATTTTTTCCACCTAAGTAATATTGAACTATGCTAGCAAGAGATTGTTCATACTGCACCAATGTTCAGTGATGTTCAAACTTTTGATCCAAATGGGTATCAATTGATATTTGAGAGAATTTTGTCAGCATTTTTCTCAAAATAAAACTGTTAAGTACTTGACTTGTTAAATGTACATGTAAAAGCTCTCTGCATGTAAAGGAGCCTCTGTGGAGCATACTCAAGTTGTAATTATCCATGGTTTCCACTTAAATTTATGGGACCAAAATATTATACACACAAGAGATTGGGCAAATTTATAATAAATGCAGAAAGTACAGTGTGGAACTGCATCATTAGGTCACTCTGCAGTGCCGTTTGCTATTGTTTTGCTTTAATGCATTCTATGATTATTTATGATATACCAACATGAAATTAATAGTGGCATCGATTTTCTTACAAGGTTTTAGTGCAAAGTAGCAAACAGTAATGTTTTCTAACAGAGAAAGCACCAAACAGAGGTCCACGTTACCAGTTCAAGAAGGAATGGGCGAAAAGAGTCACAAACAATGTAATTTAATTCTTACCAGTTTGCAATTCCATAATAATTACAATTGCCCATTATGTCACGTTGCAGTTAGATTTTCTGGCGATCACACTCTATTTAAGCAATTTTCCCTCTTGTGCGGCAGGTTAACTGTGAAATTTCTTCCATTTGGATAGCCATATTGTGAAGGCAAGTGGTAACTGTGTACTTCAGTTGCATAATGCATTTGCATAAATACATGTAATTCTGCCAAACATTAATAATTATTTTTTTAGCTCTGGCTTTTGTTCAACATTTTTCAATCAACATGTTTCAAAAAGAAAAATGCATTATTATTAGCAATCCAATGGAAAGAAAATACTCCAGGGGGTGCAGGTTTTGAAGCTGTTCAAAATTACTCACAGCATGCGATATATCAATGGTTAAAAATATGAATGCAATTAAACATTATATCAAAGGCTATTGAATGGCCAAATTATTTGGAAACCACCAACTGCATTTAAGCTTGGGTGCCACATACATAAATTCACTGATTGCCTTGTTCCACTTATTACATGTACAGTCATGTTATGTACAGTCATGTTATTCTGTTGTGAATATTGACTAATTGTGTACAGTTTGTTTTGTTTTGTTTTTGTACCCCAAGGCTATCTACATTGTAGTAACCCTAGCACTTGAAGGCAAGTTATAGTCATGTGACAGTGCATACTGCACTTAACAAGGTATTCCGAGGAGCAATGGGTCTGTGCATGCGCACTAGAAGTGAAGACATGCTTTTCTAAAGAGTTCGTTGCACACTGCGTTGGTTTTCTTTTGCTTTTGTACATTCACTACCTTAGGATGTTTAGCTGCCTTGGTAAGGTCATTATAGTGTTTTACTGTTTTTAATGTCTCAGTTATTATTTTGGTATAGTTTATTTTCGGTCTTCATGACAATAATAGGCCTTCGTATTGTAACATATTGTTGTCATGAGTCTACGCAGCCTTCATGTCTCAGGACTGTTTCTTGTTATAGTCAGCAACACGTCTTACACTCTATACGCGAACCTTGTGATTAGATTGGTTCCTTTTTATTGACATCATTTCTCATTGGATTAATTTCATTAATTTTCAAGGGTTTTTGGTTGTATATTAAACAAGACGCTACGGAGCGTACACTTCGGCGTCGTGGTTGTGGAACTAATTAATTGTAAATGTGGAGGAATAGTAAGAAATCAAATATGGTAAGAGTAAGGTGTTAATTTGTGAAATTATGGGATTTGTCAGGATATTCTGAAAAGAGCAACATCCAAGAGGCCTACTTGCCAAAAACTAGCATTTCGGGACAAATTGTCTCCGAGATATTAGCCCAGTTATGCTCTGATGACTCCATACAAATCCTTCTAAAAAAACAATTCTCTATTTTTCTTAGTCACATCAGGCTTCAAAAACAGCATAGCAGTCTCATGTACTGATTAAAGATATGTAAGGCATGGGTAAGGAGTCAATTACGTTGAGCATGGAATTGGCTACAACTCAAAGTCACAAGTTCGAATGTTTTGAGGATAATTATTCACTGACTATCAGCACGCAGGGATGTCGGATTAACACAAGGAAGTTTAACACCAAAGGAACATAGCCTTTACAGAGCTTTAAAACACAGCATCCACCAACACAAACTTGACTTGAACTCTGAGTAAAACTAAACAGCCTCTACCAATAATAACAAACTCTCACTTGAACTTCAGATATCTTACGGCTTCCGCGAACTTGTAAACACAACACCTGAAAATCGACCTTCGTCACACTTGACTAAACACAGCAGTCCAGCTCGTGGGAAAAAACTTAGTTCTTCAAAAGAACTCGCTTGGAACTTGTATACTGTTTGACATAAGGTTCCAGAAAATACTAAACAGCAGGCGAATAGTAGTAGCTTTTCGACATATTTTATGATTTCAGTAACTGATCCAAATCTGCTGACTCATGCTGAAGTGTGAACATGCCCTAATTAATTATTCATGGTAATCCAAAAACGTAGAGAACGTTCGAGAAAGTCACGCAACGCATGAAAGCAATTTTACTACGTAACACTCAACAAAGACAAAATGTCTTTTTGCAGCATTTTGTAACTTTAAATTCATCATAAAACAGTTCGAAAGGAGGGCTCACTCATGAAATGTTTTTCAACACTCGAAGAGAAATTTCGTGTCTCTGCGCGGCCACGAAATATCCTCTATTTATTCCTCGAGTAATTAAAGACTAAGCTCGAAGTGATCCCAAGATATCACGAAGTAGTCCGGTCTCATTTCGTGAAATAGTTGAAACAAGCCGAAAAGTCACGAACTTGCACGCCCAATCTTGTCCCGAAACTAGTGCATCATTTCATAACTATTTTTCATATCCCAAACTACCTTGGGTTGCAGTAGCGCAATCGGCTAATCCCTCAACTTAGAGTCTCCTCTGATCTGACGGGTCACTCAGGTGAGTCGGTTCAAACCCCGGGAAAGCCAAAATAATAATTCTTTCTTCCTCGAAAAAGTTAAAAAATAAATAAAAGAAATCGAAGTGATCTCGATATATCTCAAATTAATTCGGCTCTCACTTCGTCAAATAGCCGAATAAAACCGAAAACCTACAGACTTTGCATGCCCAATCTTGTCAAAAAATTGTAACTTTGATACATTCCTGAGCGTCGCGAAACCTTTACTTGGGGGCACATTGCATAACAAAAGATCCTCCCATGGTCAGATGATTTTAATAATATTGAGTAGATTAAGAAAACAACAGCCACAGGCAGATGCCATTTGTGGATGAAATCTTACCATGTTACCATTCATATAAAAACTGGTTGAAGTAGAAAATTTGCATAGTACTAAATAAAATAAAATATATTATGTAGGATTTTACAAAAGAAGTTTGGAGTGTTTTGAGAATTTTATTTTGGCCACTGTCTGTAAGTGATAAGGTTAATTACATGCATGATGGAAGTTTCTTGACTTACCAATCAATAAAGGTTTTCTTAAGTTAGAGTAATAGTTTATTTTTAAGCAAGTTTGGACAATGGACAAATCAAGAGAAACTGCGATACTGTGATCTTAGAAGATAAAAAAGTGCATGAGAGTCTACATTTGTATTATTACGTGCATTATTGCAATGCAATCTGCTTTGCATTACAAAAGCAGTCTCACCAAGAACTCTACACAATGAAAAACTTACATAATAATCTCTCCCAAAGGAAATAAATCAACCAAACAAGGGAATCCAATCAACTGTACTTTCTAGATCCAATAAAGAATTAAACCACCCTAAAAAAAGGAAAGAGCAAATTATAAGTTCTTGTGAGTTAAACAAAACGTTAACAGTCAGAACTGTTAATTGTTGTCGTGCCTTTATAGAGGACACTGTAGGGACCTTGAGAAACAAGTTACTAACTGAAGCCAGTAAGACTCCATATTTACTAAGAAATCACCGACACTTTGCACTTCCAAAGTGAAGATGGACCGTTTTAAGAACAGTTTTATTTTGTAATCGTGCCTAAAGTACAATTAAATGATTCGGTTTGAATGCTTTTATATATTATGGGCATGAATTTTTAATATTTTTAATATTGATGTATTGTAAATTATTCTATTTTTCGCTTAGTTTTATTTGTAAATACGCAATTCAGCCTCTGGCTGCCCATGTATTTATTTTTAATAAACTATCTATCAAAAAAAAATTAGTGTCCTCATTAGCAAGAGTCCGACATAGCAGGAGTTTATTTCAGTCAAACATCTCTCATATACTTTTGCCTGGGATTAATTAGCTGCTGTCTGTATTATCGAGGTGTCTGTTATAGCAGAGTGTCAGCAAGGCAAGAGCTGACAGTATTTAGAAAACAATGAGTCATTTTTCATCAAGGTCAGGAATTGTGATAGCCCACTCATGTTCTTAGTGTTTTGTCAAACTCATGTGAAGAGGAAGCCCTAAGAATGTCTGTGTAGGAGGCCAGCTAGAATCATCTTTTTACAAGTATATTTTTTGCCCCCGGAAGGGATTTCACCCAGAAGGCGAAATCCCGAGGAGGCACTCTAGTAACTCGCACGAATATTAAGGAAAGTACTTACAGTTGAAATATACAGTCATAGAGTCAATATAGAAAAAATCTCGATTTGCTTGAACAGGGGCTGTGAGGAATCGGTAGGTAATGATGACGTTTCTATTGTTTGCGCCCGCAAGTACGAAATGGTTAGGATGACGTAAAGACAGAACATCCCAAGGGACCGCTTAGGTAGATTTTGTGAAATTTATTGTGCAGTGATACTTCGACACTCTTTTGTGTTACGTGTTATCAGTGACATTCTGTGGAGCAGTTGTTTCAGTGAAAGTTATGGACCAAAATGTTAATGACACTCGTTAAGCACAGTAGAAGTTGTAAGGTGCGTATAACTGTGAATATATAAACACTTGGAGAGTTTGCCATACACGAGTTCACAAATCTTTCATTGGAAACCTTGCCAGACACACTCTCTCTCTTTGATCGGAATAAGACTCAGCCCCAAACAAGCACGACGAGTGAACAACGGCTAGCTTCTCACTAACGATGGACGATTACAGAAATTTGCCAACAATCAAATTCTGTGCTGACTTATTCCCTGCTAACAGATGTCCTTCCGCTATAAAGTTTAAAATAAGACTAGGATGCACGAGTGTGAATTGAGCAAACGTCCTTTTAATTTCTAAGGTTTCCTTTCCGGCAAATAAAATGAACTGAATGTAAAAAGTGAAAGAGAAATAGCGAAAAATTCAACTTCTAATTAAATCAGTCTTTTCTTATCGTTTAGAATAAACTATTCTCGAAACTGAAAATGTTTTGATCAAAGCTGTGTAAATCGACCTGAAACTGTGCATGGAACCTTGCGTTTCCTGTATTTATCTCACCTATTGTATGGAATATGTGTGAAAATCTTCCTCCTGAATTGGTATATTTCAAAGAGCTACACAACAAGCAAGAATGCTACTGACCGACAATATTTATAACATAGCTAGAAAATTCGCCTAATCAAATTTAATAACGTGAGCGTGCTTCATATTCCTATTGAGCACGCTGATGACGTCAATAAACTATTCGTAATTCCTTTAGTTGTTGTAAGCTTAGCAATCCTGAGTCTCCTGAGTGCATCCATAACTCAGCAATAGACAATGAAGCATTTACCATGGGTTTTATAAGGAAATTTAAGAGAAAACGTTTGAATTTGTTAACCGATAGTAAGGAAAAGAGGTGAGTGTTGTTGTTGTTGTTGTCATCTCCGC